AAAAAAATGTTCAAAAAAGACCCTGAATGGATGCAGTACTCTGGTATACTCAAAGAAGTGTAAAGCGTAGCATCACTTTTTGCAATATGTAATGAAGAAGAGCAATACATTTCTGGAAAATAGATGGTGTAGCATTCCTTGGGAAGGCAACCCTTTGAGTACACATTTTCCACAATGATTATGGTATTCCGTAAAGAAAGTGTTGGCGCAAGTATGTTCAAAGTTTCCTTCACAAAGGAGTGAACCATTTGATTGAAAAACATGCAATAATACAAAGAAAAGCATTACTATGAAGTAGAACCCTTGGGTGTATGTAGTAATGTTTGAAAGAAACAGGTAATGGTTGTATGTGTGCAATATGCCCTTCCATATGAACGAAACATCTAAACAAAACGGGCATCATTAATTTGAAGAAGTGATGTCTTTCCTTTACGAAAAAGAATGCCATGCAAAAAAAATGAGAGGGAGGATGAGGGAGGCTGAACTTGATTAAAAGGCGTATTGCATCTTTCCGCATATCGTATGTTTCTGCAAGAATACAGCTTCTTGCTTAAGGGAGGACCTTGTCTTCAGGCCGAAGAAGTATGTCATATAAGAAACATGATAGGAAGGCTGGGTTTCATTAAAGGTTGTACTGCATTTTTCCACGTATTGTATGTTTCTGCAAGAATGCTGCTTCTTACTTGGGGCAATACCTTCAAGGCAGGTTGTAGCCTGTAAGCAGCATGTTCCTTTAACAACAATCTTTCTGTTTTTCCAGGAATGCAGCAATGTGCATCGACCATTGCACTCTTCGACGGCAATGCTAAATGCTAATCACACACTGCAGATTGTGTAGGAATTTGGCGGTTTGAAAGAAATACATATGGTATTATTGAAGAAAGCTTAATACCATTCCGAAATGAAGCAATGTGTGCAATACTATAAAAACATAGATTGAACGCATCTGGGGGGTATTGGTGGGGGTTACATATGTATGTGTGCTTAGATAAATAGAGATAGGTAGATAGATAGATAGATAGATAGACAGATAGACAGACAGATAGATAGATAGATAAATTAATAGATTAATAGATTAATTAGATAGATAGATTAATTAGATAGATAGATAGATTAATTAGATAGATAGATTAATTAGATAGATAGATTAATTAGATAGATAGATAGATAGATAGACCGACAGATAGATAGATAGATAGATAAATTAGATAGATAGATAGATAGATAGATAGAAAGATAGATAGATAGATAGATAGATTCTCTGGGTAAATTATTATATTTCACTAACCTGAAATAAGGCCATTTGGGGATGATTCCCCTTATTAATTAACCATGATTCCAGTGAGGTCGCAGTGAGGTCGTTATAATTTACCCAGATAGATAGATAGCGAGCTAGCTAGCTAGCTAGGCAGGTAGATAGATAGATAGATAGGTAGATACATGTGTGTGTGTGTGTGTATGTGTGTGTGTGTACATGTACGTGTATCACCAGTGTGTACATGTATGTGTGTGTGTACATGTATGTGTGTGTGTGTGATCAGCAGTGTGTCTATGTCTATGTCTAGGTGTGTTAGCAACCATGGAATCGCAAACCAAAATTCACCCCCAAACTGTGGAAACATAAAGGGCCCCGATGTATCCGGGCTGTGAGCAGAGGGCAGTCTTGCACCTGCTTTCCATCTCTCATGCGGGCGTACTACAGTAGCTGCTACGACACAAATTTGTTCCCAAGTAAGTCGTCTGAAAACAAACAAAAAAGAGCAACAATGAATGTCCTCAAGCCCAAGTCATTCCTTTGGGGTATCTTTCTCTCTCTCTCTCTCTCTCCCCCTTCCGTTCATCTGGAGCAATCGCTCAAGTTTGTTGCTGCTGAAGTTTTCCTATCCTATCTTTAATCTTACCTGAAGCTTGATCTAAATGCAAACGGCTGGCAAGTCTTCACCCCTTCCAAGTCTCAGCGAAGCATTGCAATGCTTGCCATGCTTGCCATGCTTGCCATGCTTGCCATGCTTGCCATGCTTGCCATGTTCATTGTACCAGATCACTCACCAGAAAAACGAGCCATACATGGCCATACTCTTTTAGAACATATGCATAACATACGTATGCCGTATGCCTATCATATGCCCCCCAGCTTTGGGCCATTGTTGAAGGGCAAAGGAAATCCGCATCCAGAATCCGTGGCCGTGGACGGAGCCGCTGCACTCGTTTTACAAAATCGTGAAATCCATGGGTCCCCTCTGGCTGAGACGTCGCTTATAAGAAACACATTGCCAGCGACAGCTGGGAAATCTCCGTCAAAGTCGCTTCTTGCATGAAAAATCTGGGACATCCTTTGCAAGGCCATGCGAAACGCTCCACGCCTTGTTTTCCTAATGAATCACACCCCAAATATTCATATGGAGCCCAAACGTTGCCATTCAAAAGTGGATGATTATCTAAACACTCCATTCGCGGGGGTTCTATCTGTGGCTTTTGATGGTTTTTGTGAACTCTCCTTCTTCGTGGTCCAGAGATTGCCAGCTCTTCGGAAGCTCTCCGATGCCGACCCGAAAACGCTCAGATCAGTTGGTTGAGCTTCAAAGCACCACGGTTGTGCACTTGTGCATTTGCCCCAGCCTTTCCTGCTGGCTCCAGGACGCCTTAAGAGCGTCAATCTCTGGTCAAGAAATTCATCTGTCGTCCATTTATAGCATTCAGAATATTCAGAGCAACAATCGAATGGATTCAACTATCCAAGGTTGGGGATGACAGCAATATCAGCAATGATCACATGAACACATGAGTGCCGCAGAAGAAAAGAACTGCATCCAAGCTACCCATTCTGATGGCTTGAACTTTTGCCTGAAAAGAGACTTGTGGCGCTGCAGGACGTGTTTTTTTTCGGCTTGCGATATTGCACACCATATCCCATTCTTTTTCTTTGGGCCACTCAACCCCAAAGCCTCTCAACCTGCTGGAATCATCCCAATATCAACTTCTTCGTAGTGGAGATGAAGAAAAAACGAACGGAATCACGGGTACCATGGTCATCTCACCATGGGAAATCTGTGGCCATGTTGGCAATCCCGCTGGCCTTCTTTCGGGACTTCAACTCACCTGGGGGGGAAGTTGATGGGACTGCCTTCTTGGCGGTTCATGACCCAATCCCGGAGTCCTGGGGTCAACTTGTCATTTCGGGATTTTTGTGTCATAAATTTGTATGATGCTATCCAGCTTGCACATCTCAAAAAAACAGAAATTACACCGGCATAGACCCCAGATAGAAAAGGTTGGAACTGATGGTTCAGTTCCCAACGTGGGAACCAAAGGTTACCATGGCAAGGAACTGCCGGTTCCCAGACCTTGAAACTTACGGTTCCCAACCTGGGAACCAGAGGTTACCATTGCAAGGAATTGCCGGTTCCCAGAAGTTAGAATTTATGCTTTCGAAGCTAAGCAACTATCATTGTAAGGAACTGCGGATTCACAAAGTTTGAAACTCATGGTTCCAAACCTGAAAAAGCATACGTTACCAGTGGAAGGATCTGTTGATTGCACAAAGTTAGAACTCATGGTTCTTAATGTTGTTTTGTTTTGTTTACTGAGCCGGTAACAGAACCTTTTGTTTTGCTTAATGGACCGGTAGCGGAATGTTTGCGTTTGGCTGTTGGGCCGGCATAAAAAAGTTTTTGCAAGAAAAAGGTGCATGTCAAAATGATATGAAAACAGTTTCTTTACAATTTTATGGTTTTGCTTAATGGATCGGTACAGAACGCTTTGTTTTGCTTAATGGACCGGTAGCGGAATGTTTGCGTTTGGCTGTTGGGCCGGCAAAAAGAAAGTTTTTGCGCGAAAAAGGTGCATGTCAAAATGATATGTAAACAGTTTCTTTACAATTTTATGGTTTTGCTTAATGGACCGGTACCGGAATGTTTGCGTTTGGTTCATGGCAAGGAACTGCCGGTTCCCAAAGGTTGGAACTCACGGTTGCCAACGTGGGAACCACAGGTTACCATTGCAAGGAACTGCCGGTTCCCACAGGTTAGAAGTCATGGTTCCCAACCTGGGAACCAGAGGTTACCATTGCAAGCAACTGCCGGTTCCCAGAGGTTGCAACTCATGCTTCCCAACCTGGGAACCATAGGTTACCATTGCAAAGAACTTCCAATTCCTAAAGGTTGGAACTGATGGTTCCCAACGTGGGAACCAAAGGTTACCATGGCAAGGAACTGCCGGTTCCCACAGGTTAGAAGTCATGGTTCCCAACCTGGGAACCAGAGGTGGCCATTGCAAGCAACTGCCGGTTCCCAGAGGTTGGAACTCATGCTTCCCAACCTGGGAACCATAGGTTACCATTGCAAAGAACTTCCAATTCCTAAAGGTTGGAACTGATGGTTCCCAACGTGGGAACCAAAGGTTACCATGGCAAGGAACTGCCGGTTCCAAGACCTTGAAACTTACGGTTCCCAACCTTGGAACCAGAGGTTACCATTGCAAGGAATTGCCGGTTCCCAGAAGTTAGAATTTATGTTTTCGAAACTAAGCGGCTATCATTGTAAGGAACTGCGGGTTCCCAAAGCTTGAAACTCATGGTTCCAAGATGTTCCAAGCCTGAAAATGTAACGTTCCCAGTTGGAAGGATCTGTTGATTGCAAAAAGTTAGAACTCATGGTTCTTAATGTTGTTTTGTTTTGTTTACTGAGCCGGTAACAGAACCTTTTGTTTTGCTTAATGGACCGGTAGCGGAATGTTTGCGTTTGGCTGTTGGGCCGGCATAAAAATGTTTTTGCACGAAAAAGGTGCATGTTAAAATGATATGAAAACAGTTTCTTTACAACTTTTTGGTTTTGCTTAATGGACCGGTAAAGAACGCTTTGTTTTGCTTAATGGACCGGTACCGGAATGTTTGCGTTTGGTTCATGGCAAGGAACTGCCGGTTCCCAAAGGTTGGAACTCACGGTTGCCAACGTGGGAACCACAGGTTACCATTGCAAGGAACTGCCGGTTCCCAGAGGTTGGAACTCCTGGTTCCCAACCTGGGAACCATGGGTTACCATTGCAAGCAACTGCCGGTTACCAGAGGTTGGAACTCATGCTTCCCAACCTGGGAACCAAAGGTTACCATTGCAAAGAACTTCCGGTTCCTAAAGTTGGAACTGACGGTTCCCAACGTGGGAACCACCATGGCAAGGAACTGCCGGTTCCCAGACCTTGAAACTTACGGTTCCCAACCTGGGAACCAGAGGTTCCCATTGCAAGGAATTGCCGGCTTCCCAGAAGTTAGAATTTATGTTACCTTTGCCAGACTTCGCCACTGCAGTCTGGACAGCACCCTGCACAGCACCCACAGCACCCTGCACAGCAATTTTGCCAGACCGCAGTCTGGACAACACCCTGCACAGCACCCTGCACAGCACCTTTGCCAGACTTCGCCACCGCAGTCTGGACAACACCCTGCACAGCACCCTGCACAGCACCTTTGCCAGACTTCGCCACCGCACTGTACAGCACCCTGCACAGCACCCTGCACAGCACCCTGCACAGCACCCTGCACAGCACCCTGCACAGCACCTTTGCCAGACTTCGCCACCGCACTCTGGACAACACCAAGCAGAACACCCTGCACAGCACCCTCCACAGCACCTTTGCCAGACTTCGCCACCGCACTCTGGACAACACCCTGCAGAGCACCCTGCACAGCATCCTGCACAGCACCTTTTGCCAGACTTCGCCACCGCAGTCTGGACAGCACCCTGCACAGCACCTTTGCCAGACTTCGCCACCGCAGTGCAGACCACCCTGCACAGCAGCACCCTGCACAGCACCCTGCACAGCACCTTCGCCAGACCACCTTGCACAGCACCCTGCACAGCACCCTGCACAGCACCCTGCACAGCACCCTTCACAGCACCCTGCACAGCACCTTTGCCAGACTTCGCCACTGCAGTCTGAACAGCACTCTGCACAGCACCCTGCACAGCACCTTTGCCAGACTTCGCCACTGCAGTCTGAACAGCACTCTGCACAGCACCCTGCACAGCACCTTTGCCAGACTTCGCCACCGCACTAGTAGCTAGTACAGCACCCTGCACAGCAACCTGCACAGCACCCTGCACAGCCCCCTGCACAGCACCTTTGCCAGACTTCGCCACTGCACCCTGCACAGCACCCTGCACAGCACCTTTGCCAGACTTCGCCACCGCAGACTTCGCCACCGCACTCTGGACAACACCCTGCAGAGCACCGTGCACAGCACCCTGCACAGCACCTTTGCCAGACTTCGCCACCGCAGTCTGGACAAAACTTCCTGCACCACCCCGCACAGCACCCTGCACAGCACCTTTGCCAGACTTCGCCACCGCAGTCTGGACAGCACCTGCACAGCACCCTGCACAGCACCCTGCACAGCACCCTGCACAGCACCCTGCACAGCCCCCTGCACAGAGTTCGCCACCGCAGTCTGGACAGCACCCTGCACAGCACCCTGCACAGCACCCTGCACAGCACCTTTGCCAGACTTCGCCACCGCAGTCTGCATGGACAGCACCCTTCACAGCACCCTGCACAGCACCTTTGCCAGACTTCGCCACCGCAGTCTGGACAGCACCTTGCACAGCACCCTGCACAGCACCTTTGTCTGGACAGCACCCTGCACAGCACCTTTGCTAGACTTCGCCACCGCAGTCTGGACAACACCCTGCAAAGCACTCTTCACAGCACCCTGCACAGCACCTTTGCCAGACTTCGCCACCGCAGTCTGCATGGACAGCACCCTGCACAGCACCCTGCATAGCACCCTGCACAGCACCCTGCACAGCACCTTTGCCAGACTTCGCCACCGCAGTCTGGACAGCACTCTGAACAGCACCCTGCACAGCACCCTGCACAGCACCTTTGCCAGACTTCGCCACCGCAGTTTGGACAGCAGCCTGCACAGCACCCTGCACAGCACCCTTTGCCAGACTTCGCCACCGCAGTCTGGACAGCACAGCCTGCACAGCACATGCACAGCACCTTTGCCAGACTTCGCCACCGCAGTCTGAGCACCCTGCACAGCACCCTGCACAGCACCTTTGCCAGACTTCGCCACCGCAGTCTGGACAAGTCTGGACAGCCCTGCACAGCACCCTGCACAGCACCTTTGCCAGACTTCGCCACCGCACAGTCTGGACAGCACCCTGCACAGCACCCTGCACAGCACCTTTGCCAGACTTCGCCACCGCAGTCTGGACAGCACCCTGCACAGCACCCTGCACAGCACCTTTGCCAGACTTCGCCACCGCAGTCTGGACAGCACCCTGCACAGCACAACCTTTGCCAGACTTCGCCACCGCAGTCTGGACAGCACCCTGCACAGCACCCTGCACAGCACACCCTGCACAGCACCCTGCACAGCACCCTTTGCCAGACTTCGCCACCGCAGTCTGGACAGCACCCTGCACAGCACCCTGCACAGCACCCTGCACAGCACCTTTGCCAGACTTCGCCACCGCAGTCTGGACAGCACCCTGCACAGCACCCTGCACAGCACCTTGGCCAAAAGTTCGCCACCGAAGACCCCACCTTTGAGAAGTAAGAACCCCTATAGCTTGCCAGCTATCTGGGGAAATAAGAGTTGCGGAATGAGACCCACATCCAAGCACCCCGGCCTTCAGGGCACATGTGGCAGTAGGTGCAGTCGAAACCACTATTGCAACCTCTGGCTTTCCAGAACCACGCGCATGGGCTGCACCTGAACCAGCAAATTGAAGAACTAGGTATAGCTCAAGACTTTTGGCCCCAAAAACAATGATACGTAGTGTAATCCCTTCTCCCTAAATTAGATACCATGGCTTGGTATTGGATTATATTGGATCTAATTATTCATGTTGGGTAATATCAGGGGGATAGGAATCATACTACACATGACAAATTGCATGGGTCAATTGATGCCTCAATTTCAAGGCCTAAAATGATGAGATGGAGCCACTCTGCAATTCACCAGCCGTGCATGTCCAATGAGAAAGATTATCCTTAAATCATCTCAACCCATTCATTTCAAGAGAATGTCAAAATCGAAAGTGTCAGGACACTTGACGTCTGCTAGTCTGACCTGGCAATTGTGAAAATTCCCATGTACATCCATTTGCTCAAATGATGTTCCCTATCATATTACAAAATGGTAACGGTTAAACATCAGAAAACCATATTTCATCCATATTTCCCATTGCCATGAGGTTACCATACCCATCCCAATCATCCCAATGGCACTGTTGCTTCTCTCCCAGGGTTTCGGTGTCTCGGGCCTGCCAGTGCCATGAAGCGTCGAGCCTTTGGAGGGCAAATTGGTGTTGGCGCCATCCAGGGTCGCGGGGTCCATGGCCTCGTTGAAGAGTTGCCTGGCCGCGTTGTTTTGTTGGGGATTTTTTCGATTCGGGGTTTTTACTAACATTAACTATGGAAAATCACAATTTTTAATGGGCAAATCAACTATTTTTATCGAAAATCTATGGAAAATCACAATTTTTAATGGGCAAATCAACTGTTTTTATCGAAAACCTATGGAAAATCACAATTTCTAATGGGTAAATCAACTATTTCGACTGGGCCATTTTCGATAGATATGTTACTTTACCAGAGGGTACTCTAAAAACGAATCAATATATGCCCTTCTTTTTTAGGGAAAAAAAGGCCGGTTTGATATAATTGTTGATGATCATCATCATTTACCTATTGGTTGTTGAATAAAGGGGGAAATTGGGAAACCATCTATTGATCAACCACCCAATCCGAAAAGGACATCTGTTCCAATTACATATACAATAAAAGGATCCATAAGTATCCGGCATCCTACATATCCGCCACTTTCGCTCACATCCAGATTCTCGGGGTAACCCCTCTCATTAACCAACAGAGTTTATTAATCAGAATAGGGGTTACAAGTTAAACAATGTCTTTGTGGAACCACCAGCTGCCCCAAGCTGCGCCCAAAATGAGAGGAATATTCTAAAATCACCAGAACTCCTGTTTGAAGGACCAATATGATAATCAACCGCCGGAGTTTTGGAAGCCCGTTTGTATATTCAAGTTGTTCCAAGAAAATGATGTGCGGCACATCACTGGCCTACCGGCAGCATGCTGTAGGGCATTGGTGTCGCTCACTAGGCCTCATTCGTAGCTAATGGCACGTCTGGACCAAGAGTTAGGCATCCGAAATCCCTTGCAATGATCAATGGTTGGTTATGTTGGTTGGAATTGGGAAACTATTTTGTCTAAGCCATTTAGGAAACTCAAGCATCTCAAACCCAGGTTGGCAGATGGTTACCTTCAACATCTTCAACAAAGTCCATGCCCTGCCTGGTTCTTGCGGCGCTGGCTGTGGCTCTGCTGGTGCAGGAGCAGAGGCAGAGACAGCAGCCGAGGCAGGAGCCACAAAGACCATCTGCCAGGACATGGGGGACTTCCCATGGACGGCAGAGCCGAAGACGGCTTCTCTTTTAGTACCCTCTGGTAAACTAACATAGCTATGGAAAATCACCATTTTTAATGGGAAAACTCACTATAAATGGTCATTTTCAATAGCTATGTTAGTTTACCAGAGGGTGGTTTCTTAAAAAAAAAAAACTCATATGCTCCACCATGAGGTATACTTTGGGAGACGAGAATTTTGGGCCATGGCCACAGGTCACCAGAAACCCACAGAAAATCCCCGCCGCCTGTGCACCAGCTCCAGGGATTTGACCAAGCTGCCCCGGTTGCACGGGCATTTGAAAAAAGCCTGGTGAAGGGTGATGCCCAGGAACCTGGCCACGCGGACGGGGATGATACACATTTAGTGTGATTATAGTATGATATAGTTCATTTGCTTGTCAATCTCTACATTCCCTACATGTATCATCGCGTATCGATGTCTGTGCGTCTAGCTACGCACGACATGCGTCTCATTCTGTGGCCCTCTCTGCCTGCAAGTTATTCCATTCACAGTATGTTGGGTGTGTTAGGCCTCCGTCCCTCGAACCTATCCCCCAATCCAATCCGTCCATGGAAGTCTTCCAACCTTCTTACCAGGCCTATGGATCATTATGGATCCAGTTCACCATCCAACTGTCCATTCACCCACCACCACATTGCTTAAGCCAAAGTGCTTGCATCAAAAGCATTTGCGTTCCTTCTGGAAGATTACCAGGCGCCGCTCCTGCCAGTGCTGAGGAAGTTGACAGCGGCATGTCCTGATGTGTCCTAGTACCTACGACGCGCAATCGTTCCCAAATTTTTATGGACATCGTTCTCATATGTTCTCATTGCCTTCTTTCAACTGTTTTCCAGAGATGTCATTTCCTGAGTCTTCATGGGGCAGTTCACGCATCAGTGTCTTTGTGAAATTTCCATCATTTCCTATGCCAGTTGAACTGGGTGGCGTTTGCTCCTGCTGCCACAGGCATTGGCATTGGCATGCCTGTCACTGGCATTTGCACCGGCGGCTGCATCCCAAGGGGGCCAGGGATGGCCCCAGGGGCAGGCGCACCTGCTGCCGCCATGTGTGGGGCTGGCTGCGCCGGCTGTGCCGGCTGTGCCAGCTGTGCCAGCTGCTGCGCTGGCTGCGCGGGTACATGCCCAGGCAAGGCGGAGTAGGTGGCTCCTAGCGCTGCTGAAGGTGATGTTGAAACTGTCATTGCAGGACCGGCTGCTGGAACGCCAAAGCTGCAGGCCGCCTCATGCCCTGCAGGACTGGGGGTGGCAGGCCAAACCTCTGTGGGGGTGTAGTCACACCAGCGCCGGCGCTGGGCTTGGGGGGTAGCTTTGTAGTGGCCACTGTTAAAGACGCCACCGTTCACTGAGCTCAAACTTCCAATGGGAGAATGCATGGTGACACTTGTCAAGCTGCCAATGGGAGCTGGTCGACCCCCTCCCCGTGTCACCCCCGGTAAAGGGGACGTGGGTGAGTTGCCCGCCATGGCACCCGCCGCAGCCGACCTGACCGCCTCTGCGGCTTGAAGGGCACGCTGCGGCATGCTGCAATGAGGAGACTCCAGTATCAAATGCAACAGGAGGCATGTTCAGCTGCAAAGATCGATCAGTAAAGAAACTAATACATGAACTAATAAGTCATGTTTTTTTGAGATCAAACAAATCAATACAGCAACAGACAGAATAATTCAGTATCCAAACATCCAACTGTTGAGACTGCGGCCACATATCCAACCGTATTTCGTCAAGAGCTTCCTGAAAGCTGCTCCTTGCCCATTGGCATCCCATGGCACTCTTTCCTTGACTCAGTTGGGCACCGTCCTCCGTCAGATCAGCAATGTCTACTGGCAGGATCTCAGAAGCCAGGAGGTGTCCCTCGGTGCGTTCTGTCGATGCACCTCTGGAAAGTTCGTATTCCTTGGCAAAGCACCATCGAGACCTACACGGTCCACCAGCATGGTCAAAACACCCACAAATTTGATGAACATTCTCGGAGCTTCGGCATCTTGGACATGTAAACCATTGTAAACCTCTATTTGACATGTGACCTTCCCCTGATATGCCTGATATGAATTTTGTATCGGGGTTGCCATTACCGAGGGTATCATGTGCCCCAGGTTTTGTGGTTACAATTCTCACTTTAGACCAGCAAACTACGTCAGTTTCCAGAAAAAACATTGCAAAAGAATGTCCCAGTCAGGAAAATGCCCCTACGAAAGTATAAGGGCTTTTTAGCCTATGGTGTTTTTTTTGGAAAGCCCTAAATTTCCATAATACTGTTGTAGGGCCTTGTTGACAATTTTTTGATATCTGCTGTAGTTATTTTTTTCCGGATGGTCCGGGAACATAGGTTACTTTTGTAGTGAATCTGGGGTTCCTTTTTTCTCAATTACTCCTGCCATTCCCCTCAAGAATTCCCAAGCTTCTTTTTCACGGTCTTCGCGATGGTTTGCTTGCACAAATGTTGGCGTCCCATCATTTCTCTGCATAGCTAGGCTAATTATGCACCTAGACGTCCTTGCTTCTGTCTACATCTGATAAAAGTGTAAAAACATGTAAAAGCATGTCTTGGGATACTTTTTTCGAACACATCACCAGATGGAAATGTTTTGGAATGGTGTTCACTGAAGATCATTTCCGTACCTGGGGCACCCCTAGGACACCCTTTCCTGTCCAGATCAGAAAAAGTAAAATTGGAAAGTTGGGCAGGAATTGTTGTCCGGGACGATTTTTCATAAAGGGCTTTCAAAGTATAACTTTGTGCGAAATTATTGCGCAACTTGAACGTAGTTGAATGCAATTTGAACGCAATGGGATCATAATTTGAACGCAATGTAGCCAAAAGATGCCAAAAGGACGTGAAAAAACCCTTCGGCTATCGGAAAGGATGTGAAATCTCAATCTTGGACGTGAAAACCGTCAAAAACTCTGAAAAGACAACTGACAAGTGTCCTAGGGGTGCCCCGGGTAGATTTCCAAGGCCATTTCTGAAAACTCAAAAGATTTCGAACAGCTGTGCATAAGTGGATAGAATTTGCTGGGAGGAGTGTCTTCGAAGCAAGCGATCTCTCCTCCCCTCCCCCTTCCCGGGGGGATTGAACGTAGGCCTGGCAGTAGTACAAAACTGTTTAAAGCTATATACAGTTTTTTGGGGCACAGCTTACCTACAATTCGTATTTGGCCTCAATCCAGGCCGACTACAAAAGACTCTTGGTTTCCCAGGAGGCCAACTTCAGGATTCATATGATTCATACAATTTGAACAGTTTTGTGGACCAGGCAGAAATGTCTACAAAACTATCGCTGTAGTACAAAAAGCCAGTACACAGCAAGGTGATCCTTACAGAATAGGGCCTTTCAAAACCTTTTGTAGGGATCACATGTTCTTGGCTTTTGTAAGATAAATGGTATCCCCGATAATTTTGTAACGACCATGGCCCCATGGCATTCAAAAATTTAAAAAAGACCCGAGTTTCGACCATTGAGCCATGGCACACCTGGAGCCAACATCTGCAGCCAAAGGGCTACCAGGGCTTCGGACAAGCTGGGGCTGTCCTTACCAGGAACTCCACCAAGATTCGAGAAGGACCACAGCACCTGCCAGTGCGGAATTGCTGGAATTGCTGGAATCAACATTTCTAACATATATTTCCATGCAGAAACACATCGTGGATCATAACCCATCTCTCTATTGATTTCTATTTACTGTAATTCAATTTAATTCTAGGTACAGTAATTCTTTTGCGTTCTATTCATCTATCTGTCTATGCATGCAGCAGTGCCGTCATTGTTCCGTCCCCTTTCCCCTCCCAGGCTTGCTTTCGGTTGTTTCTTATCCTGTAGGTGTGCACAATTCTGGCGCTTCTTTTGTCTGCCCTTCCTTCCCTTCTTGTGATCTTCTGCTCGACCGAACTATCTGTCTCATACAAATGATCTTCGTTGATGAATCTAATCGAATCTTGTCTTGGCTTATATATCTATCCATCTGTAATAATCCCGTCTTATCTCACCTCATCCTATCCTTGACTTTCCTATCTTATCCATCTGCTTGCAGCTCTTACTGCCCACATGTACAGTCATGAAGTCTCCTTGTGGGTGTCTTCACTACATTTCACTACCCTGGGCCGAACCAAAATGCAGCCACGAATCAATATCTCGGGCTTTGGAGTCATAGTCCTCAATGCTTGCCTCTATTCTTGATCCCAAAGCCTTGAGCACCAGCTCATCTCCTCAGCTGCCATCCAGAGATTCCAACGCCCATCCCACGGCCCAAAACGGCCCAAAACGGCCGTTTTAACCATTCAACCGGTCCAACCATCACATGGTGATTTCACCTAGCAGCCCAACACTTGTGCTCGGTAGGACCCGGACTGTATCTGAAATGTGCCAGCCCCACAAGAAGCCTCGGCTGACAAAACTGAAACGATGTGACACAAAATTGAATGAAGCTATGCCAAGAAGATAAATAAGTTGAACTGGTACGAACTTATGATACTTATGAGAAACAAAATGATTCTGAGTCTGTGAGCCCTCCAAGCCAAAATGATGCAAAAGTCAGTCAAAGTCAGCCGAGTCTATGCTCCGCACTGGCAAATATCCATGGTATTGAAGCGTGTCCCGCTGTGGAGTAGTTCAAGGGCCCGGTGTGACAGGGCGGCGAACAAGTGACCATCCTCATGGTCACTTTTGACCATGGCCTCGATGTGCATCCCACTTGGTAACTGGTCAACAACTCTGGTTAGTATATGTTAGTAACCTGTTAGTATGTCCCTCAAGAATCCCCAGATGGTTCTTTACCAAGTACCAGCCGTGACACAGCCTCAGACCCAGTCCAAGTAGATTCAATAAGGCCCTGGCCACCACTAGAATGCCAAGCTCTCGTGGTCCAAAATCCTCAATCCTGCTGCAGGCCAGGAAGAACTGGTAGAAATACACCTGCTCTCCCCCTTTCTCACTGAACTCTCATGGAAATCACCCCCTTTGATGGCGCTTTCTCCATTCACCGCCCCGCGCTGGTCCGTTGCAGTGCCAACTGCCAGATCGACTCTAGCAGTGCCCAGGCCCTTGGTACGGCTGCATCTGGGGCCTCACCCATGGTCGCCTGGAAAGATGAAAGTCTGGATTTCCAGTGTCAGATACTGGATAAACCATGAAATCAACTTTCCGAAAGGGATCTCCTTGATTGCAAATCACATCTAAGAACTCCTATTTGGTAAAGGAGCTGCAACATGCTCTTGCCAAACAATCATCGATTCCCGCAGAAACAAGCGAGGGCTTCAACCATTGCACACATGACATATTGATTCTCACCTCGATGTCTTGCAAAATTCCCCCAACTTATTTACTGAACGCTAGCCGCACCTTTGTGTTCTTAGCCTGTCTTGTTTACTGACAACATGTCCATAAAGATTATTCACATTGAAGGCCACTGACTCGGATAGGAAAAAGAAAGAAACAGAACATGCCTTTCGGGGGGAACCTCATTTTGGCGTCAACATTTACGACTGCCAAAGCCTGGATCTTGGCCACATTTTCAGCCGTTCTGGACAACATTCTGGACAAGTTCCTCCGAAATTCTGGGGTGCAGTTTTTACCCCAAGATTAAAATCATATTGAATGGTAAACTGGTAAACCATGGTAAACCCATCCCCATCCATGTTTTCTCCTGCCTTAGGCTCTTGCAGCTTGGCTGGCGCCTTCATCGCCACCCGCGCCCCCAGCAGCGCGCTGTTGGCCACGTCGCCCACGGCCCAGTCCGCGCCGCCCTCGTCCGCACGCTGCTGGGCCTCGGAGAGGGCCGGAGCCCAGAAGCCCGGGGCCTCGTAACCTCGGTGGATTGGGGCCCTGGGAAGCTCTCGGAAAAAAAGTTGAGGAAAAAATGATTGCGAAAAGAAAAACTAAGTCACTAAGTTGGGTTTAGGGTTCTATTTTGTTTTGAACTTGGTGGAGTTTAAATGATTTTAATTGTATCTGTAGAGAACTGTGGAAGGCATCCAGTTATTGTGGCCAAAGCCCAAGAAGCCCAAACGCACGTGGTCATTCCCCAAAGCCAACCAGTTTGTCAGTTTGACGAGCCTATTTCACACAAATGAAATAAATAAATAGATCCAAATATACTAATAAATAAAATTATATATATTACACAAACTATATATCAGTAAACATACACGGTTGTGAACTCTGTATGATTCACATTCGCAAACGGAACCGCTCAAGCAGAACCACTTGGCTCCTGACCAAGTGCCCAGGCTGATCTCATGGCTCCAACCAATGCCGCAGTATCCATGGCCGAAAGTGGCGCAGCCAAGCATGCGTTGAAGAGGCTGGGCCCCAAGCCGTTGCTGCTACTGCCTTGGCAAAGTCGCAATCCTATCCACCAAACTGCAAGAAAACACAAGAAACGAATGACAAAGGTCATGTGGCTATGACCACTAGGACCACTAGGATGTACCGCAAGCTACCTGCACTTTGGAACTCTGGGCCAAATCCAAGTCGCGAAGATGAGGGATGAAGGCCAGCGCTTGCACCACAACTTCCAGCTGCAACAGTGACAAGCTTTTCACTGCAGGTGGCAGGGATACCTCGAGACCGGAAGGTGGCCCGTCTGAGACGAATCAATTTGTTCATTAAAAAAGCAACCTTGGAAAACCAGACCTGGTCAGTTTACATCAGCAATTCCCAAACTTGATATACATCCATCTTTGATGGTTTCCCATTGACTTAACCGACTTCACCGCTCCGCTGTAGCTTGATAGCTCCCCCGAAATTGATCATCAATGATCATCATGTTTATAGTTGATGTTCCTACAGTTCTCCGACAAAAAATGGTACACTCCCTACTCCCTCATTTTTTCTCATGAAACCCACAAAAGCGGCAAAATATGGTCTGGGAGATGATTTTCCAACCCAGGATTTTGGTTTTTTTTCAGAGGGAGTCCATATACGTCCAGCTTGATGGTGTAACTCCTCCCATCGGACAGCAGCGCCTCCAGTACCTGCGCCAGACTTGTGAGGCAGGTCTCAGTTGTGTGGCTAACCTCAGGGCAACAGGGGCCAAGGTGGCCAACCAACAAGGTATGAAGGGTTTCGACCCATAGCCATATTGATGGTATGACATCACCATGGCCCTGGGGACTCCATCCTCCAGCTTTTTATGTTGAATCTGTGTGATGTTCGGGTGTTTCGACTGTAGCCTAAGGCCAGCACGATTTGAGAAAGGGAAGCAGATAGCCAACCGGAAGATGCCGTCCTTGCCGGCCACATCTCTCCTGGCAGCATGGAACTAAGCTGGGGACAGTGCAAAATCCTGGCACCTGCTCGGTTTTGCCAATATGTTGACTCACACAAGTTTTAAGCCGTCAGCCCCAAGCAGCTGCCACACCCTTTTTTTGAACCGCATGATGGATCCTTCCCGGTCCATCCAGGGTCACTCCAGGCCTAGGCTGAGATGTGTTCCTTGGGCGGCACCTTATCCTCGATGGATGGTGTAGAGGAGGAGGACCCCACAGGCTTCAGCAGCTGGCTCTCTGGGTTGGACAAGACGTAGCTGGTGCGGTAGATGCTGACTACGGAGCCAATCCCAAGCAGCAGACTGCCCAAGATGTAAAGTGTGGCACCTCAGATTTGTAAATGTGCGGGGGCTTCTGGTTCTTGAAGTTCAGACGTTTTCCACCCTGTGATTCTAGAGAATCAAGAATGAGGAACTCCAAATTCAACAACGCACCAACAAGTGCTGTAGTAAGTCCCACCATCCACATCCCGCCGTGGCACCGACGCAGACCATGGTCCCATTACATCCCAGGTCCGGCAGGAAGGCAACTGATCCCATCACGAAGAATAGGGCACCACCTCGAGGCAGGTCGCTTGAATACAGGAGGTTGGGAAATCCAGTTGAGTCCGCTTAGTAATTAGTCACTTGAACAGATTCTTTGCAAACTGCTTTCAAAAATCTCCAAAGGAACATCTACGTGGTTCTAAGCGGACATTGTCATAGAACATACCGGGGTTTAGTGTCTTGTAACGCCTGTAACGCTTTGTAACACCTTTTTTTCGCCTTGCAACATGTGTGGCCCGTTCACCTAAATACAGGGACGTCACCGCAGTTAGGAGCTGGTTGGTGAGCGTGTCAAAGCTCCTTTGATTCAAGCCATTCACAAAAGATGCGAAGGCGAAGAAGGCTGAGCCGACCATGAACAGAATCGTGCCTCTCAAGCTGCACAGACTTTGGCCACATGGAACGTTTTCATGATATTTGCGCATAGGATGTTGAATCTCACATAATGATCAATTCCAGAAATCTCACACTTAAACACCCGCTTCCTATGGAGACAACTTCATTTTGAAGAACGTTGTGCCGAAATATGATGAACGAAACAAAGGTCACAAAGTCTTCGGGTCATCTGACACCTCATGCTCTTTAGCATTTATGTCAAAACCTAGGCTTCTTCACAATTTTCACCCAAAGTCACACCTTCGAATTGCGTGCTAAAGAGATTGAAGTAAACCCCCAGAGATAGGTGCTTTGCAAGCCATGTCATGTGGTAGCGGTCGATCTCGGGTGGCCAATACATCAAGGTTCCAATGAGGTATAGCAAGGAACCCAGCAAGTACAGAACGTGCTCAATGGATTCAAAGTTCAGGATGTTGTCATGATAGTGCACAGCCTTGAGAATTTGTTTCCGTGATCCCTAACAAATAACAACCATGCTGGCACTAAAACGTCTTTGAAAGTACACGTGAGTGAAGGTGATAAAAGCAGATGTTGGAAGCCCGTATCAACTCTTTATTTGGCTCAAAAAAACACCGCAAAAAAAAGGAACAGCTTGACCAATGCACATGACAGTTGGCCTCGCACAGAGTGTAAATGGTGATGCAACAGTAAACAAAGCTCCCGAACACAAAGAGCCCGCAGCCAAGCAGAAATACGTCCATATCATGCGCATAGGCTGGTAGAAAGCACATGCTGCCCACTGCAAACATCATATTAGCTCCAAGTTCTAAGCCTTCGATCATGTAGGCTGCTCGGACATCAAGTCGTGATCTACTATCTCCACTATCTCCACTGTCCTTCTGAACATTTCGAAATGGAGCATTTCTGATTCTTTCCAAGACCACGTGAGGCATGGCGTGAAGTGCCGCTGGTAGCACCGCACCCGGGAGAACAGCTTCGTTTCCCCAGGTCTCACCACATTGAGGGGCTGGCTCTGGCCCGGCCCCAGCGGGTGGCAGCTGGTCAGCTGCCCATTTGAGCTGAAACGACGATGGCGGAACGTCGCAGTTCAGTATCCACCAAGACAACGAACGCGCTTGTGAACGTTTGAAGTGCATGATCACTCATGATACTCATGCATCATAAAATATACCAATGCAACTGTGCAGTTCTTTAGGAAATCCTGACAGCTTTCAGCAAACGATCGGTGGAAAAATGGGGCAAAGTCTGTTGATCTATATAGATCGCCCAGCTTCTACTGGTTGGTGGTGTCAACCTGTGCCACAAACAAAAACAAAACATCCGTCAATTGGGATCCTCATCTGTGGGATATGAGCAGTAGTGGCTTTAAGTGAATTCATCAAGTTATTAAACAGTGTTGTATAGTTTAACTAGGTTGAACTATACATTGATGAATTCACTCATTCGAGCATCTGTGAAACAACCTACCATGGCATCCCAGGGGCCCAAATCTCCAGCACAGCTCCAGCAGCATCCAGGATCACATCATCACGATGCTTCAGCCGCGCAAAGGCTGAATAGCTGGCCACCAGGGTCCCCACGTGTCGGGGGTCCACTTCAGACCTGAACCGGAGCGCTTGGTGTTGGTGCTCATTGAGGTCAGCCCATTATTCCCGCGGGGGCAATCATCCAGAAATTTGAAATTGGACGAAGCTCCTGATCTTTTCTGTTGCTCTCATCATTCCTCACTTCCATTCACTTCCATTCACTTCCATTCTCAAGACTTGTCTAGAGCCTGACATCCGAGCGGGCAAATTCGGACTCCTTGCCCCGCAGCGCTGCGAGGACATGTTGCTGCAAAGGTGGCAGCACCACCTCCGCAGCTGTGCCCAGGCGAGCCAAACCTCCCAATCCAACAGCCAGATCAATGAGACCTAGGCATTCAGGATGACAAAATATAAGGAACCCAGAGGCCTTCAGGCCTCCGCTGATTTTAATGCATTGAGATATATAGAACTTTGGCAAGAAATCAAAAATCAGTTGAACAATAGCTACTGAAACTATCCAAGAATGATCATTCTATTGTGTCCAACCAAGCCTTCCAAACCCCCAGCTCCTCCCAACTCCTCCACATTTGGCGGGTGGGGAAAAAATTTGTCGCTCCATACTTCCACTGCCAAATCTGCAAAACAATGAAAAGTTGGTGCTTTCACCATGAAACGCAGCTGATGGCCACTGCCCACCAGCCGTTCCCCCAGCTGCTGGGCCAAGGTCTTCCAGGCCAAGCCCCCGCCGTGGCGATGCTCGCGGCCGCTTTTGAGACGCTGCCCAAAGGCTTCACCGCGACTCGCCAGCTTTCCAAGGTGATCCGCCAGCTCGGCTAAGGGCCGGCCCTGAAGTGGTTCTGCTATGTTCTGCTCCCCAAAATCAAAACACCCAACCAATTTTTTGGGAATGTAGGGCCCAAAAATATGGCAAAGAACGATCAACATCAAATTCAGGAGGGGTCCATTTGTTCTTAGATCTTGGATCCCATGTACCTAATCCACTTGTGCAGGTGGAAGACCGTATCATGCAATCCATTGCAATGGGCCTTGAGCTGCCAGCTGGTGGCAAGCTCGCTACTTCGCCGCTGCAACGTCTCCAAAACTGCACGGTCACGGACGCGAAGCATGGCATAGGCCTGCAAGGGCGGTTTGGCCTTTGAGATTCCTCGTAAACTACACCAAACACTCTACTTTGGCAAAAATATCAAAAGTGTTCCTTGAGTTCTGCAGCATCAGATCTTCAAGCCCCATCAAATCCGATCAAGTCCCATGGTTGATCTAGCCACTTGGCTGTCACCTCTCCTTTGCTCATCTCCCAGCCTTCACAGCATGCACCAATCGCACAGCATCTGCTGATTGCAACTGCTCTTTCAACATGGTTGGCAGAGGAGTCTCCTTTGGACCTCCGAGCTTCGGTGCTTGCGGCGCGCCCACAAAAACTCTCTCTGCCCATTGCCCAGGAAAACTAGGCGTGGCTCTTGGGGATGCACCAAACCTTCACAGCACCCCAGTGACACAAGGGTTTGTCCAAAAAATGGTGAGGACTCCATCCACAAAATCCACAGTAGATAGTTGGCTAGTTATATAGATATGGCAGTGTGTCAAAACCATGTACCCCTGGTGAACATCAAAATAGCTGGTAAATGGATGTTCATTCCCCTAATAAACTGTATCTATAGGTATTGATCCATAGCCATATTTGTTTGTCAAAGTGACGATAGTGCTGCTACTGCACCATCTTTCGACCTGGACCTGTTACTCTCACATATGGCCCAACTACGGTGCCCTTCTGCTCAGGTCGCGACTTTCGTGCAAATGCCTCCGCAGCCTCAGTTTTTGGGGGAGAAATATTGAAAAGTCAGGAGGATTCACCATGATTCTTTTCACATTTGTGGCATCAAACAGTTCCTGTATAATAGCATATCATGTCAGGCTGCAGGAATGCCATGTCACTATGCCATACCATGACCCATCAAACGGACTAGACAAAAGGAATGTTCAGCCCACAAATGGAATTGTCTGAAAATCGCGTACCCCATTTCATCCAGCGGATTTAATCATCATTTTCCCATGAAAAAATTGCCATAACTCGCGGGTATACCTCATTTTCAGATGGTCAGACACACCCAAATAGTAATAGTGTTAGCTCATTCATCCATATTACCATCTAGTATTATCTAGTTATATATTTAACATAGCTATGGAATTCATGGCCCATGGAAATAGATGGTAGAAATGATAACCCAACTCCCAGCCCCATTGATCTGTGGCACGCATCAGCCGCCGCCAGTTCCACCGTCTCTCCTGTGGCCTTGGGTCACTGGCAAAATCGTCTCATGAACGGCATCACCAAAAAATAACATATTGCCACTGAGACGATAACTATGTGTACATATTATAATATATATATAAGTTGGTATCTATGATAAGTACTAAGTATAATGCTTGATATATAAGTGTATATATATATATATTAGATGCTTCTAACGATATAAAACTGTATCACTAATAGTGGTATGGGATATCACTATTAATAAGTGTGTATAATATATATATATATAACCAGTTATTCATTGATTATTACTATATAGATCGAACATCACTATTTGTTGCTATATAACTATGTAGTAGTTGAAACTATATATATACATATATAACTATATGTATAACTAAATATAACTATATATAACTATATATAACTATATATAACTATACATAACTATATATAACTATATATAACTATATATAACTATATATAACTATATATAACTATATATAACTATATATAACTATATATAACTATATATAACTATATATAACTATATATATACATATACATATATAACTATTATATAATATAATTATATATATATATGTATATATATTTCAATGTTTATATTACATAACAATATATAGTTATTATATTTACCATATATGCCATGCTGATCCAACTGGATTTAAGGCCTGCGCCGGCAGCGCCGCCAGCGCCCTGCGCCACAGGTCACGCTTCTTTGGCGCCGAGGCGACGTGGCGAAGGAGCTGCGCGGCAGGCCCTGGAGAATGGAACAAATGAGGCCCTGGATTTCAGATGATTTTAGATGGCTATGGATCGATACCTATGAAAATACCATTTTTAGGGGAATGAACATCCATTTTAACCCAGCTATTTTGAGGTGAACAGAAGGGGTACTATTGGTTTTGACACACTGCCAGATGACTTTAGATTTAGATCATTTTAGATGAGTTTAGATCGTTCTGAATGAATTTTCATGATTTTTAGATGTTTAGATCGTTTGGAATGATTTTTAGATGATGCCGGATCATTTTCAATCATTTTAGATTCACATTAGAGTACTACATTGAGGTGATATTGAGCCTGAGACTAAGAAAATCCAAGAATGCGATTTTTTGGTGAATAACCATACAGCCCATACAGATCCATACAGTCAGATATTGGTGTTTGAATGATATAAATGGCCCTCCCAAGAGAAGGAAGCCCCAAGATAGAAGTTGAGTCATGGCCCTTGGATTTCCATTGAATGACAGGGAACAAGTCCCCAATAGCCAGTTTTAAAGCTCCCTCCTTGGCGATGGCTTCTGAATCCTCTCTTATGTTCCTTTTATCAAACCAAACCTTGATCATTGTTGGGACATTCTGGTTTGGCATGGGATCAATCTCTCCAGGTGATTCAAGTTTCAGTCACATGCACGTTCTGCTCAGATCCCTACCGTGCCTTGGGACATGGCGAGCAAACAATTCCGAAAGCTCAGGTGCAGCACACCCCCTGGCCATCCCTGGTCCCGGTGGGGGAAATGCTGCAATGCATCTCTTCCCTTGATGGCTATCGCTCAAGTTGCAAGAACCAGCTGGTTGTGATCCGAAAAATTTGGGCTAGCGGCTAGCTCATGCTAGCTCCATGAAAATGGCCCCAAATTAGATGCAAATCAGTTGCAGAGTGATGAAGTGTCTGCAGTGTTTCCAAGGGTGGAAGGGTGAAAAGTTTCACCTGCAAATTTGGCTAAGGTGACTCATCTGTATTAATCTTAAAGCCTCAAAATTGCTGCAACACTTGACGCTTTAAAACATGTGGTTGGACCCACAATGGCTGCAATTGAAGCATGAAACTCTTTTTGGGGAGAATCTACCGACTTTGTCTGCTTTGGTGGGGAAGGGCCTCCCATATTTTCGGACACGCCGTTAGGAAATTTTGACAGGGACCATCCCACCCACTTAAATCCAGAGTGTCCTTCTTGCGCGGCTCACGATTTCACACAAAGTTGGGCACAGTCAATCAAAGGTGGCTACGCACGCGCCTACCGGTTGACCCCCAGCAGTTGCATTGCCTGCACATCCCTATCTTGATGCATCAAATGATTAAATGATCTGATTCGGCTCGAAGTTTTGTGGACGGGTTTAGGCCAATTTTGGCCCATGACCACCTGACAAATCACTAGCTTCCATCCGGGGCATCAGAAGTAGCCCTGCTTTTCGTGTTGTCGCGCAACTTTTTTGACCTCAACTTGCCACGAAAATCACTCGAACTGGGTGATACTGTACTGGGACCCATTTGTTTGCAGCTGGACTATCCCCCAAGATGTTCTGGCTTTCACGGTTTATGCCCTGTTTCCTGCCAACCACAGACTTCAGGGATCCTCCCGGAATTCCCTTCTCTGAGCATCAAGAATGAAACCCTCAAGAAATGCAGCCATGATACCATGTCCTCAATGCCAATTCCGGTCCATCTCGCAAATTGCTGTGGCCGTCTGGCTTTGCCACGCCGAGGTTTCCCTAAAGCGACCTGAAAATGTCGGACTTGAGGCCTGTGAAACACTGAGGCCACATCAACCCAATCCCAGCCTCGTAGAACATCACGTGCCGATTCACCAAGGGATCCTTGCAGAAATTGCAGCTAGATGCAGCTAGCAACAGAGCTGCAGGAGAAAACATCTTGCAGCCGGGTAAATCATGGTAAATCTGGATTCGGGCTGGCCCATGTCAGATGCATACAAAAAAAAACCGGCCAAGGAGCGTATTTTCGAAGAGCCATCCGAATATCCTTCTTCAGGGGTGATTTTTCCTTGGTGCTGAGCTCGTTTTCACAGCAGCCATTGTAAGAACATCTTTGGACATTCCAGTGTCATCCGACTGTTTATATATATATATAATCCCAATCAACTCATACTTATCTCCAGTTGCGGGAAATTATAAGTTGTAAACCATCGCACTTATATCAGACATCGGCCAATGGTTGATGTAGACGTTGTGACCATCCCGGACCCTGGGCTGCTGACGGTCCAGTACGCAAAGCCTGTCCCCACCGAGCTGGCTAATTTCACAGCGAGACGTTTCGACTTGTCGAAGAGAAGCACAGGACTCTTGAACATGACCTGCCAAAAAAAGGCTGCAGCAGACTGCTGGTGCAATTCAAAACGCCAAAATGCTGACATGTCGCTCTGTTGTTCACTTCTCAATTGTGTGATGGATGTAGTTGGGACCCTCGATGACTCGATTCAGAATGAAGACTTCTATCACTTCGCCATTCACATCAATGAGAATTTCAGGATCCCAAAATGGAGGTACTGTACCTATAAATTTTGGAGGCATATTCTCTCACAAAGCCTTTACATGGGCCTTATATATGGTAGGCACCTCCAATTTAGGTTCCTGAAATGGCCATTGATCACAGTCCCCGTTCAGAGCGTGGCGCGTCAGCCTCAAAATGAGCTTCAAACAGCGTATGGTCACAGCGATGGAATTGCGTTGTCGCTATTCAGTGCTGCTGAAATGAAAGTCGTGGTCCAACCAGCTTCGAACGATTGCTTGGCTTTGTGGAGGCTGACTATGGAGCTCACCGCTCCCTTTTTGCTGCAAAGGATGTAACCTATTCTCTGTGAGCTGTAAACGCCCATGGTGTTTTTGACTGCGCTCTTATGGACCTTCGGCCACGAAGGTCAAAGCAAATGCGGTATTTGCATACCGGATTCCGATGAGTTGAGATTGGCCACTCCCAGAACCAATCCTGGGATCCTAGAGATTTCCAAGTGCCTCAGTTCTTGTCCTACGTATTCGGCATAAACATGTGCAATCGCATTCGAGCGACAATCTCTTTTTAGCACACCGCTCTTTGTTTACGACTACGCCAGCGCATTGAAAGGCGTTCTTGCAAAACACTGTCAATCTGCAATTTGATCAATATGATCCTATGTGAAGTAAAGTTTTGAAATATATATATATGAGCCATGGTCAATACTCACTATATGGTTGATGATCATCCCATCCATAATAAGGATCCTTATAATGGTTATTATAAATCCCTATGAACCATTGGATGACTAGCCCCTATTAATGGTTATTAACCATGAGTATTGACCATAGCTCATATAATGAAGAAATTTGATGTGCAACAAAGTCAATACATATTTAATTTCAATACTCATTGTTTCTGTTGAGAAGGTCCTGACTATGCAAATCATTAGATTAGACCTGTCAATGCGGGGGCAGCTTGATGATGCACTTTGCACAGCCGTGGCACAGCGAGTGCCACGCGTATGAATGGTGTCACCATTTTCGGCATGATTTTACGAAGGATGTCACCAGACCTCACACGTCACAGATAAGTGTGAGACAAGGCTCTCAAAGTCATGGGCAGCATTATCATATTGTGGAATTGTGGAAGCCACACACGAATTTATCAAATTGCCCCAAATCACTACTTTGGAGATGAGCTGGGTTCCAGCTGAATGGAGATTACAATTTGAGTCCATTGAGGCAACGACTTGAGTAGTCTGCTTCTCCTTCGAACTTTGGCCTAGCGGACGCCGACAAACCATGACAAACCTAACGAGTGGCCCCAGCTCACCCAAGTCCACCCTGCCGGCATCGATGGTCCTGAAGGTCTCCACGGCCTTTCGCCTGACATCTTCTCTTTGCTGGCACAGATACCTCAGATTTCTGAGGAAAGTGTGTTCTATCATGTTCTACCACATCTTTGCCGCACAGTGACACAGTGGCAAAAATATCCAACTAATCCAATTAATCATTAATCCGTCTGCGCAGGGATAATTGGAAAGCAGGTGTCCAAAATTTCCAAATTCAAAGGACCCAACTCAAAGGCTCTGTCATCCATGGGGTATCGCCTGTTGGCATCGAGCTGACAGCAAGAAACCCGAGCAGCGCGCCAACCCCCCAAAATGTATAGACATTCCGATTGGAGCTTGTGGGTCTGGTGCTTGTACGTTTCCCTTTGATGCTGATGATGCTGATGCTGATGTTGATGCTGATGCTGATGCTGTTCCTGATGTTGATGTTGATGATGATGATAATGTTGTTGATGATGATGATGATGATGTTAATGTTGTTGTTGCTGTTGTTGTTGTTGTTGTTGTTGCTGTTGTTGTTGCTGTTGTTGTTGTTGATGATGATGCTGATGCTATTCCTGATATTGATGATGATGAGGATGATGATGATGATGATAATGATAATGTTAATGTTGTTGTTGTTGTTGTTGTTGCTGTTGTTGTTGATGCTGATGTTGATGCTGATGTTGACGATGATGCTGATCCTGATGCTGTTCCTGATATTGATGTTGTTGATGATGATGATGATGATTATGATTATGATGTTGTTGATGATGATGACGACGCTGATGCCGATGCTGGTGATGATGTTGATGCTGATGTTGATGCTGATGTTGATGATGATGCTGATGCCGATGCTGATGTTGATGATGATGCTGATGCTGGTCCTGATGCTGATGCTAATGTTGATTGATGGTGATGCTGATGTTGATGTTGATGCTGATGCTGATGATCATGGTCGTGATCATGATCATCATGATGATGATGATGATGAGGAGGAGGAGGAGGAGGATTATGTTGGTGGTGGTGGTGATGATGATGAGGACTATAACGATGACGATGATGATGATAATGATGAGGAGGAGGACGAGGACGACGATGATGATGATGATGCTGTTCCTGATATTGATGATGATGATGATGGTGATGGTGATGGTGATGGTGATGGTGATGGTGATGATGATGATGATGCTGTTCCTGATGATGATGATGATGATGATGATGATGATGATGTTCCTGATATTGATGATGATGATGATGATGATGATGACGATGACGATGACGATGATGACGATGATGATGATGATGATGATGATGCTGATGATGCTGTTCCTGATGATGATGATGATGATGATGATGATGATGATGATGATGATGATGATGATGATGATGCTGTTCCTGATATTGATGATGATGATGATGATGATGATGATGCTGTTCCTGATATTGATGATGATGATGATGATGATGATGATGATGCTGTTCCTGATATTGATGATGATGATGATGGTGATGGTGATGGTGATGGTGATGGTGATGGTGATGGTGAAGGTGATGGTGATGGTGAAGGTGAAGGTGAAGGTGAAGGTGAAGGTGGTGAATATTACTGTAGAAGGAGGATAATGATAAAGTCGTGGGGATGATGACAATCATGACGGTCATGGCGATGATGACGATGATGAGGAGGATAACCATGATGATGATGAGGATACACGGTGCCCAATCATCGCCTTCGAAAGCCTTCCAGCAGATTATCATCACCTGTCGCGGCACTACACCAGTCGACCATCTGTCCGTTGGCCCGCTGCCATGGTAGGAAAGCATCACAATCTGAAAGCTGGTGGATGTCGATTGCTTGAGATCAAAGCCCCCAAAAAATGACCATCCTACCGAAGAGCAACTCTCGGAGCACCTCCACTTACAGGCGCGTTCGTGTGGGCGTGACCGCTGTTGGCGATCTGGAGGGGAGGTCTGGGACTTGAGAAAGAAAGTCCACAACTTTTTTTTGACCTTAACTTAAATATGTGTTGATAGTCTTACTATCATTGCTATCGAATACTTGGCTATATGTTCGTTATCATCATAATTAGAATATATATATATATTTATTCATTTATTTAGTCCCAGACAATGAATCAAGTGATTCTGTGCTGAAACATGATGCATTCCGCAGGGCTGATTGCAGAATGTCTTGTGACCATTGGAAACGAGATCGGTCGAATTGAAACGGACTGCATTTCCAAGACTAGCTGTGGATACTGTGATGGTAATAGTGATGCTAGTGATTTGTATGTGTTGCTGGCTATTGCCATGAATTATCATTACTACTATGGTCGTTGATTTCTATTGTTCCTATTGCTATTCCCCAACAGCCATAGCTTAGGGTTGTTGCTACTATTATAATCCTTATTCATGACTTCCATTCAGTTTGGCATTCTCTATCCATGGCCATCTCGTCCAGCCAGTTATGACGATAAATTTGGATAAAACCAACAGAATAGAAATCTCTACTGACTCTACTGTCAGAGATTTTCTCACCCATGGGCCAGCCTTGTTTCTCACCACCTCGCCAATTGTAGCAGAACGGCATGTCTTGAGGCACCAAATCAATCCAGCCGAGCTTAGGACTTTCAAGAAGCTGGTCACAGAAGCAGAATAGTCATCATCCTTTCCACCTAAGGGCACTCAAAATACCCTCCGGTCATCTTAAACATGGCAATTGAAAAAAAAGATCGGTGAATGGTGGACTAGTGGGACAAGTATAGTATATATATATGTGTGTGTGTATTATGTATCTATATATATATATACTGTATCTAATAGATGGGAATTGACCACCACCAAATGGTCTTTTTTCAGATCCACTGAGGCCCGTTCGTCGTTTCGGCTGAAATTCGGCCAGGAACATCTCCTGCACCGGGAGCTCGGCCTGTTGGAGATAGTCGAAGGCTCGGTCATCCATCGGGTAACGCCTCGAAGTTCCGCAGCCGGGGGCAGATGGGGAGATCATGTGGGATTTTACCCAACCTGGTTATGACTAACAGTTTGCCATGGAAAATCAGCATTTTTAATAGGTAAACCATCTATAAATGGGCCATCTATACCATGGCTATGTTAAATAACCAGAGGGTAACTGTTATTAAACCACCGATATAAATGGGGATATAACGTAGATATAACGTGGAGATGGGGACACCGATGTAAAAATATGTAAAAGAAAATCCAACAGTTTCGGGGCATCCCATAGAAATCTTGACCTATCCGACATCTCGCTATCATGTCTGTTTGGAGTTGTCCAAGAATTCGGTGGGTACCTCATTTTGTGGCTATTTTATTGGGGATGATGATGATCATGATCAAAAACCACTAAAAACCATAGGGATTCTGGAGCAGTGTCACGGGATGTCACGGGATGTCACGGGATGTCACGGGCGCTCAGATTTGGACGCCCTGAACGCTCGAAGGCGGCCACCTCCAGTCTTTTTAGCGTATATTCATAAGGATCCAGATTCAATGGCATCATGTTATAGTTGGAAATGTGAATCAAAACAATTGACAATGCATGTTCAAAGCGACGGCCGAAAAATGAGTGGCGTCGCATTTGGCGGATGATCTTGACCTGAAAACATGCGCCACCTCTTCGTAGATCACATGCATGCCAAGCTTGCAGCTATAAAATCGTACGGCGTGATACCAACTGCCAGAAGTCGAAACAGAAACATCTCATTTATACATATTTATACAAGTCTCTAAGACCAGCTGTGGGTGTGTGGTGCACTCTGTGTCTGGCCTCCTTTCCCATCCCCTTTGCCATCTCCTTTTCCATCGTCTCTGTGCCCACCAAAGCCTGGTGAAGTTGCTAGGGTCTGGAATGGGCCCACATGCCAACGAATGAGCAGGGAGCAAGATTGGGTACCCCAAAAACTTGCATGGCTGAAACTCATAAAGGAAAAAAGTCAATATGTTTGGAGGTTCACCTGCACATCAACCTCACTCCCATCACCAGGCAATCACTCCAATCTGACCGCAGTAAGTTGACCCCTTCATAAGTGAGTCCTATTGAAACAGTGACCTACATGGTCACATGGTGCAAAAGATCTAGGCGAATGAAGGCTCTGTGCTGCCAAAAAGTGGCTTCCAAATGATCCCTTTCCCCCGACAATTTCCTTGAAGCTGCAACCGTGGCTTTAAATGGAAATGTTGACCCCCTCATGATGCATGTTGATATCCCATGATTTCTTGGTATGATTCAATAGCGGATGAGCGGATAAAGTCCTATACCAATCATGCTTACATATAGTCTAGAGTCTATATAAAACAGTGTTGCACATTGATTCCCGGCAAGTATCCACTAATCATCACTAATCAATACCTAGTAAACGTTGCCATAGTGTAAATCACAATGTTTGATTCATGTTTGACAGGTAAATCGCTCCACCGGAAACCGCCTCGTGGATGTGCCTCGCCATCCCGGAGGCGCCAGGGTGGCGCTTCCCTCGGGGCCCCGCCACCTAGCGACGTTGGACCCCTGGCTTGGTAGTTGAAAAATGGTGAAAACATGATCAACATGGTCAAACCATGTCAAACCTAGTTTAGTATGGTTTGGCATGGCTTGGTATTTTTAGTAATGTTTAGTATGGTTGAATATGGTTTTGGTAGGTCAGGATCGCTGGGTCTTTCATGGTACATCATCCCACAGGGCCTTGCGAAGTCTTTGAGCGGAGGTTTAAAAAAGCCGTGATCCTCAGCAGACGCAATGGCTACAAATGGAGGTTTCCTTCCAGGGGGGGTACCCCAAACCTTATGGGTTTCAACACTAAAATGGTCTAATGTTAGGAAACCCTGCAATGGCGCCCAGTATCCCCAGGGCATCAGAAGCATAATGTGCGGTGCTTGTAAATAGATATAGAGAGAGAGAGAGAAATAGATGTAATCGGCCGCACATCTTCGTACATCCCTGGGCCTGACAGTGGTCCACCGTTGGACTGCCACGATCATGTGTGAGTTGAGCCTCTGGCTGGCGCGAATAGTCGGTCTCCTCAGTTGGGCAATTTCAAGTGGCGAAGGAATTGCTGCAGTTGTCCCAAGTGCCGTACATTCTCATTCCTCGGGGCGAAATTGCGCAGCACCTTCACAGGTTCGTGTTGGGCCCTGTCAATCCATCTGATAACAGGAGCTGTCACCTATGCCAGATTATGCCAGCATGAGCGCAGTGGCCCGTGTGCCTCTGATTGTAGGTCAGTACCAGCTGTGCAGAGATACTCAAATGCTCTCTCCTTAGCACTGTTTGAAAGTTAAAGCAATCCTACGAGCTTGTCGCTGGTCCTAAGTAAACTCTGGTTGGGGTCGCGCCCAAAAATGTCAATTGGGATCATCATCATCATCATCATCATCATCATCATCATCACCATCACCATCATCTCAAATAGGAAAAAATGTTGCGCAAATGTTGAAACAACCAACCAGAACTCTGCAGCTCTATTAGGTTCCGCGCATCCATCGGGTATCTCTCCCGAAAGCTATCCAGCTTGGCTCTGCCTTGTTGTGCAGCCAGGTTACAGGTCTGTCTTATGAATCCATCTTCACGGCTGTGTCATGTCAACCCAGGAATGATCAAGCCTGGTTGATGACTTAGGGGGTTTAGGGGATTTACCCCCCAAAAGATCAAAAAAAGCGAGAATGTGCCACTAGAACGAGGGTATTCTCCAATCAAAGAGCCCAGATCCAAGGCTGACATTGACCATCCATCCATCCGTCCATCGTCCGTCCATCCATCCATGGTTGGCTAGAGCCCTCCCATCCTGAGCTCTTAGCTGATGCAGTTGCTGTCCATGTGTGGCTTTGACATGGACCTCACCTTGAGAGCCAAAGGTCAGAGACCTCTTGGGGGCAGACCGTACAAGGTATCTCAAGATATCATCCCATGTTCCTTCTGGAAAGCATCTCCACTGTCAAGGGATGGGTCCTCGCTTTCGTTGCCTTTTACCGTTTTGTCCTTCCTCTTCTCTTGATTCAATCCTTTCCCGGCTGGTCGCTTCCTTTCATTATTCATGTCTCTTTGCTTCCGTTCTGTTTCTTCCCCAACTGGCTCGTAAACCCGCAGTGACATAAGGCAGAAGATCCGGATCATGTGTATGTAGACAGGGAAACAGCGAGGGCGAGAGGAAGAGCGAGAGAATGAGGATGAACCGGAGAGATGGAGATAGATAGATGTATTTCACTATATAATATACATAGTACCAGCACCTATGCACATACTTATCATGCAGTCCATCAATTGCACCCTCCTACAGATAGTGGTGGTCTTGTTGCTACGGCTGAGGCCACGGCAAAGGCTGTCACCTCAAAAACAGAGATACAAAAGGAACGCTCCACTCTACAGGTCGCAGCTGTGGCTGGCATCCTTTTTCGGGCCCAGCGTTGCACCGTGGCATCGCAGCTGAACTCCAGGCGGAATCTCCGGTCTGATGGCCGTTGCGATGGCACTCTGCTTGAGGCTCTCGGCAAATCGTTGCTGAAGTCGCCTCTTCCCAGCTGTGGAGGCTGTGGGGTGATCTGAAGAGTCCTTCGGTCGATGCACTGGTGGGGCACATCGTTGGTCACTGGTCCTGGTAAGTGGTGAATTTCATGAAGATCGTTGGCGCTTGGCGTCAGGAGTGGCTCCTGCCGCTACCAGTAGGCTATCCCTTCGACTGGAAACCATGGTATAGTGAATCTGTTCAGTTTGGGGTCCCATGAACGGGGAGTTTATGGTTGGATTTGTCAGGGACATAGGAGCTTTTCAACCAATTTCCCCGGGATAGATACCTCTACCCAAAGAAGTATACAGTATACTGCTCAACGTAGCACAGTCTTTGAACGGTAGCTGCACCCGAGTCAGCACACTCCTGCAGTGCCTGTAGCATCTCTTGCCCGCCAAAGGCACAGATTGCCATCCTCTCCACCAGTGACGAAAGTGTTCTCAGCAAAGCCACTGGACACTCGGACCAGAGCTTTGTGCCCACCTGCCAGGGATGGGGTGCATGGGGTGCCACCTTCCAAATGGCCCTGAAAGTATCCTACTGCCCCCCAACCAACCCACCTTTACCATCCTTCAGGTCAGACGTGTAGGTGGCGCCCTCCAGGTTCAAATGGTACAAGCACAATTTCCCTCTAACGCTGCTCATCAGCACGTACGCCGATCCCAAGCGATTGTTATAGAGGACATTTACCACATGGCCTCAGCAACCGCAACCCCAGAAAAGATAGCCAGACAATGCACGATGAGAAAAACATGTTGAAAGCGCGAAACGGGCCGAAGCGGGTTTAGGGGTTTTCGGTTTTTCTTGGATGTCCTCAATTTAATCCAGGAGGCCGTCGGATTCGCCCACCTCAGCTGATCTTCACCAGCCCAACTTTTTATACTTTTTGGTGCAGGTAGCCCCACAAACTCAGACCCTGACATGTGGAAACATGTGGAATCCGTTCGATTCTCCAAAACTAGCCCAAAAATCATAAATCCTGGATCTCCCAAGCATTCAAGCCTTCCCAAAGATCCTAAATGTAAAAACCGGACCAAACTTGCAGGTCTATTCGACCTCGGAATACTTGGAGTAAACATTGCAGCGCTGTATGCCTCTTCACCACCGTTTTTTCTCATTCCGCTTCCACAACGGAGCCCACCTGCACGTGTTCCTCGCTGCGCAAGCGCTCCAGGCGCCCACAGCGTTGACCTTCCCTGGGCGCCTGTAGACTCCACAGCTGCAGCACATCGCTGGTGGAGATGCTACACAGCCTTCAGCCACCAGGACCAATTTGTTCGCTGATTGTGCTGGATTTAGTTTGGGGATTTGATTGAACTTTGAGCAATGTTCAAGACATTCTTCCGGTGTATTCTAAGATGGTTTTCCATAGGTTTCCCTGGCCCGTTAACCTCTTAGCAGCCACCAAGTGTCACGCCACCATCGGCTGCGAAGCTGAAGCGCTCCACGGATTCTTCGCTGTTCATGGCAAGGCGCAAGTAGTCATCCTCCGAAGGCCTTGCGGAGCGATATGAGTGAGCCTTAAAATGAAGAACAAGGTGGGCCAGAGAACCCAAAAGCAAGACGGCACACAGCACGCCTTTTCTTGAAAATCTTGGGATGTGGCCAGCTGTGCTCTGCACGAAATCGACGTAAGATCTTTACTTAAACATCGTGCGCACTGATGGTATCAGGGGCCACGATTCACCACAGCATGCTGTGTCAGCTACGCCTACAGTCTTCTAGTCGCTATTTCTGTTAATGTAATTAACTCTATCCCATCTGTCTAGTCGCTATCTATTTCTGCGTTCTCGTTTAGTTTGCTTCGCCGCAGAGGGAGCGAGCACGAAGCGTGGACGGACAGAACGAAATGAAAATTAAACGACAGAGGGAGCTGACCAAAAGAGCATGAAAACGAAGATATATATGAAGGTGACAGATGGCAAATGATCATGAAAAATGAGACATGATAAAAGATGGGTAAAGACTTCTCTGTACAAAAGCTTCTTTGCATAAAAGCTTCTGCAAGTAAAAGCTTCTGTGGGCAAGAACTTCTCTGTGTAAAGGTTTTTGGTGTAAAAGCTCTTGTGTGTAAAATCTTCTGTGTAAAACGCGCTCTGTGTGTAAAAGTTTCTGTTTGCGAAAGTTTCTTTGCGTACCAGCTTCTGTCTGTAAAAGCTCCTCTGTGTTAAGGTTTTGTTTGTGTAAAGCTTCTGTGTGCAAAAGCTTCTCTGTGTAAAAGACTTCTCTGTGTCAAAGCCTCTGAGTGTACAAGCTTCTCTGTGTAAAAGTTCCTCTGTGTAAAAGCTCCTCTGTGAAAAAGCCGCTCTGTGTAAAAGGCTTCTGTGTGTAAAAGCCTCTGTGTGTGCAAGCTTCTCTGTGTCAAGACTTCTTTGTGTAAAGATTTCTCTGTGTAAAAACTACTCTGTGTAAACGCTTCCGTGTAAACTCTTTCCTGTGTAAACGCCTCCGTGTGTAAAGACTTCTCTGTGTAAACCCGTCTGTGTGTAAAAGCTCCTTTGTTTAAAGGTTTTTTTGTGTTAAAAGCTTCTGTGTGTAAAACCTTCGTAAAGGTTTCTGTGTGTAAAAGCTTCTGTGTGTAAAGGTTTCTGTGTGTAAAAGCTTCTGTGTATTAAAAAAACCTTATGTAAAAGCTTCTGTGTAAAAAAGCCCCCTGTGTGTACAAGCTTCGCTGCGTAAAAGCTGCTCTGTGTAAAAAATCTGTGCGCCGTAAAGTTGTCTGTTTGTAAAACCTCCTGTGTGTGTGTGAAAGCGTCTGTGTGTACAAGATTCTGTGTGCAAAAGCTCCTCTGTGCAAAGACTTCTCTGTGTACAAAGCTTCTGTGTGTGAAAGTTTCTGTGTGTAAAAGCTTTCCTGTGTAAAAGTTTTCTTGTGCAAAAGCTCCTGTGTGAAAAACTTCTCTGTGTAAAGGCTTTTTTGTGTAAAAGCTTCTGTGTGTACAAGCTGCTCTGTGTTAAAGTTTCTGTGCGCCGAAAGAACGTCTATCTGTAACACCTTCTGCGTGTAAATCTCGTTTGTGTAAGGACTTCTCTCGTAAAAGCTCCTCTGTGTCAAGACTTCTTTGTGCGAAAGGCTTCTCTCTGTAAAAGCCTTTGTGTGTACAGGCTTCTCTGTCTCAAGACTTCTCTGTGTAAAGACTTCTGTGTGTAAAAGCTACTCTGTGCAAAAAAGCTTCTGTGCGTAAAGGCTTCTGTGTCAAGACTCCTCTGTGTCTCTGTAAACGCGTCTGTGTGTCAAAGTTTCTGTGTAAAGGCTTTTTTTGTGTAAAAGCTTCTCTGTGCATGTCCCATTTTTCAGCCTTTGCAAACCGTTTGACCGGTCTTGGGACCATTTGACCAGTCTTGGGTCCACAATTTTTTCAGGCCAATCGCAATGATGGCATTTGTCCTGAAAAAACCCGTGCCAACAGCTCTGCCGCAAACTATTTTCAAGGTTTCCTATCCGTCCAGCATGTTGTCTCGCTCCCTCCCAGTGGAGCTCTCCGCAAGCTATTTTCACGGTTTTGTCCCGTCCAGCATGCTGTCTCGCTCCCTCCCAGCAAGGCTCTCCGCAAGCTATTTCCACGGTTTCCTCTCCGTCCAGCACGCTGTCTCGCTCCCTTCCAGCGAAGCTCTCCGCTAGCTATTTCCACGGTTTCCTGTCCATCCAGCATGCTAATGCTGTCTCCCTCCCTCCCAGCGACGCTCTCCGCAACCTATTTGCACGGTTTCCTCTCCGTCCAGCACGCTGTCTCGCTCCCGCCCAGCGAAGCTCTCCGCAAGCTATTTGGACGGTTTCCTCTCCGTCCAGCATGCTATCTCGCTTCCTCCCGGCGAAGCTCTCCGCAGCCTATTTGCACGGTTTCCTCTCCGTCCAGCATGCTGTCTCGCTCCCTCCCAGCGAAGCTTTCCGCAAGCTGTCTCGCTCCCTCCCAGCTCAGCAAGCTATTTCACGGTTTCCTATCCGTCCAGCATGTTATCTCGCTCCCTCCCAGCGAAACTCTCCGCAAGCTATTTTCACACTTTCCTCCGTGCAGCATGCTGTCTCCCTCCCTCCCAGTGAAGCTCTCCGCAACCGCACGGTTTCTTCTCCGTCCAACATGCTGTCTCGCTCCCTCCCAGCGGACTTTCCCCAAGCTATTTCCACGGTTTTCTCTCCGTCCAGCATGCTGTCTCGCTCCCTCCCAGTGGAGCTCTCCGCAAGCTATTTTCACGGTTTCCTCTCCGTCCAGCATGCTGTCTCGCTCCCTCCCAGCGAAGCTCTCCGCAAGCTATTTGGACGGTTTCCTCTCCGTCCAGCATGCTATCTCGCTTCCTCCCAGCGAAGCTCTCCGAAACTATTTCCACGGTTTCCCATCCGTCCAGTTGTCTCGTTCCCTTCCAGCGAAGCTCCCCGCAAGCTATTTGCACGGTTTCCTCTCCGTCCAGCATGCTGTCTCATCCTCTCGCGCTTCCTCCCAGCAAAGCTCTCCGCAAGCTATTTCCACAGTTTTCGTCTCCGTGCAGCATGCTGTCTTGCTCCCTCCCAGCGAAGTTTCCTCAAGCTATTTCCACGGCATCATCCCGTCCAGCATGCTGTCTCGCTCCCTTCAAGCGCAACTTTCCGCAAGCTATTTGCACGCTTTCTTCTCCGTCCAGCATGCTGTCTCGCTCCCTCCCACCGAAGTTTCCCCAAGCTATTTCCACGGTTTTGTCCCGTCCAGCATGCTGTCGCGCTTCCTCCCAGCACAGCTTTCCGTCCAGCATGCTGTCTCGCTCCCATCCAGCGCAGTTTCCCCAAGCTATTTTCCACGGTTTTGTCCCGTCCAGCATGCTGTCTCGCTCCCTCCCCGCGCAGTTTCCCGAAGCTATTTCCACGGTTTTGTCCCGTCCAGCATCCGGTCTCGCTCCCAGCGAAGTTTCCCCAAGCTATTTTCCACGGTTTTGTCCCGTCCAGCATGCTGTCTCGCTCCCTCCCAGCGAAGTTTCCCCAAGCTATTTCCACGGCTTCATCCCGTCCAGCATCCAGTCTCGCTCCTTCCCAGCGAAGTTTCCCCAAGCTATTTCCACGGCTTCATCCCGTCCAGCATCCGGTCTCGCTCCCTCCCAGCGAAGTTTCCCCAAGCTATTTCCACGGCTTCATCCCGTCGAGCATCCGGTCTCGCTCCCTCCCAGCGAAGTTTCCCCAAGCTATTTCCACGGCTTCATCCCGTCCAGCATCCGGTCTCGCTCCTTCCCAGCGAAGTTTCCCCAAGCTATTTCCACGGCTTCATCCCGTCCAGCATCCGGTCTCGTTCCCTCCCAGCGAAGTTTCCCCAAGCTATTTCCACGGCTTCATCCCGCCGAGCATCCGGTCTCGCTCCCTCCCAGCGAAGTTTCCCCAAGCTATTTCCACGGCTTCATCCCGTCCAGCATCCGGTCTCGCTCCTTCCCAGTGCAGTTTCCCCAAGCTATTTCCACGGCTTCATCCCGTCCAGCATCCGGTCTCGCTCCCTCCCAGCGAAGTTTCCCCAAGCTATTTCCACGGCTTCATCCCGTCCAGCATCCGGTCTCGCTCCCTCCCAGCGAAGTTTCCCCAAGCTATTTCCTCAAGCTATTTCCACGGCTTCATCCCGTCCAGCATCCGGTCTCGCTCCCTCCCAGCGAAGTTTCCCCAAGCTATTTCCACGGCTTCATCCCGTCGAGCATCCGGTCTCGCTCCCTCCCAGCGAAGTTTCCTTAAGCGATTTCCACGGCTTCATCCCGTCCAGCATCCGGTCTCGCTCCCTCCCAGCGAAGTTTCCCCAAGCTATTTCCACGGCTTCATCCCGTCCAGCATCCGGTCTCGCTCCCTCCCAGCGAAGTTTCCCCAAGCTATTTCCACGGCTTCATCCCGTCCAGCATCCGGTCTCGCTCCCTCCCAGCGCAGTTTCCCCAAGCTATTTCCACGGCTTCATCCCGTCGAGCATCCGGTCTCGCTCCCTCCCAGCGAAGTTTCCCCAAGCTATTTCCACGGCTTCATCCCGTCCAGCATCCGGTCTCGCTCCGTCCCAGGCAAGCTATTTCCACGGCTTCATCCCGTCGAGCATCCGGTCTCGCTCCCTCCCAGCGAAGTTTCCCGAAGCTATTTCCCCAAGCTATTTCCACGGCTTCATCCCGTCGAGCATCCGGTCTCGCTCCCTCCCAGCGAAGTTTCCCCAAGCTATTTCCACGGCTTCATCCCGTCCAGCATCCGGTCTCGCTCCCTCCCAGCGAAATTTCTAAGCTATTTCCACGGCTTCATCCCGTCGAGCATCCGGTCTCGCTCCCTCCCAGCGAAGTTTCCCCAAGCTATTTCCACGGCTTCATCCCGTCCAGCATCCGGTCTCGCTCCCTCCCAGCGAAGTTTCCCCAAGCTATTTCCACGGCTTCATCCCGTCCAGCATCCGGTCTCGCTCCCTCCCAGCGAAGTTTCCCCAAGCTATTTCCACGGCTTCATCCCGTCGAGCATCCGGTCTCGCTCCCTCCCAGCGAAGTTTCCCCAAGCTATTTCCCCAAGCTATTTCCACGGCTTCATCCCGTCGAGCATCCGGTCTCGCTCCCTCCCAGCGCAGTTTCCCCAAGCTATTTCCACGGCTTCATCCCGTCGAGCATCCGGTCTCGCTCCCTCCCAGCGAAGTTTCCCCAAGCTATTTCCCCAAGCTATTTACACGGCTTCATCCCGTCGAGCATCCGGACTCGCTCCCTCCCAGCGAAGTTTCCCCAAGCGATTTCCACGGCTTTATCCCGTCGAGCATCCGGTCTCGCTCCCTCCCAGCGCAGTTTCCCCAAGCTATCTCCACGGCTTCATCCCGTCGAGCATCCGGTCTCGCTCCCTCCCAGCGAAGTTTCCCCAAGCTATTTCCACGGCTTCATCCCGTCCAGCATCCGGTCTCGCTCCCTCCCAGCGAAATTTCCCCGAAGGCCTTGCGGAGCGATATGAGTGAGCCTTAAAATGAAGAAAAAAACACAAAAGATCTAAAAAAGAGAGAGAGAGAGATGTAAAATCCGCGTTTTTTTTGGCAATAATGGCTAGTGACTTTTCGAACCCTGGGTGGGGATTGGCGGGGGAAAAACCATTCTCTACAAGCCGAGGCACATCCGCTCGGTGTCCAGCACACACAGGAGTCCATCATCCCCAGCTGTCACCAAGTGGGCTGGGACCCTGGGATGAAACCGGAGGCAGGACACCTCAATGGCCGGAGCAAAATGCCAGAGAAATGGGTAAAACTGGATGAAATTATAGCCTCCAACAAAACCCTAGATATACCTAGAATAGATAGTAAGCCGATTTGGTGGAGTCCTGAAAGTCCAGTTTCTCACAAGCATCCAAAGGTTCAGGCGGGTCACTGCCTTTGAGTGGGTGTCCTCAAAGTTTGCGATCTCCTCGCCGGATGACCTAGCAGCTAGTCTCGAGTCTCGACTCGCAACCCATGCTGTCTTGTGTGCGCATGTTGCACTTGAAGACCATGACTAGTCTCACAATCAAAAGTCCTGAGCTGCAAACGTGTCAAGAAGCATCACGGATGTGCCCACGGCACAAGCACAAATACCATCAGCAACTGCCACAGACACTGGAGGCTCATCCAAGTCTTCCCTGAGCTGCAATCAACTGGTCAAACTAAGGAGGATTGCCCCTTGTGCTTAGCGGTGACAAGAGGCCGGTCCATGCCAACGCGACTTGGGAGACTCAGGAAGAATCAACCCTCGGCTCAAATGCCAGAGGTATCTCATGCCCTGGATGGATTCAACATGGTTGAGTTGAGACACCCAGGCTCTCTATTCCCGAAACCTCTACAGCCCAAAGCTGCAAATGAGAAGCAAAAGGGTCCGCTGGGCAGAGCGCCCCCCCACTCGAAGGTCCCAAAGCTTTACTGAACCATCCTGGCAGGTGGAAAACCAAACATTCCAGGTAACTCCAGTGATGGAGACGGAGACGAAATGTAGATTGCTGTTCTCATATTCATCATGACGAAGCTCATCATGCTGAATCGTGATCATGATGAAAATAATGATCATAATGATCACAATGATCATGCCAATTCAATAGTAGGATTCGATCTTTGAAAACTGATTAGGAGACACCGTGGCACCCTGGCACCGTGGCCAGCCTTACAGCAAGCCACCATGGTGTCCTCGTAGCAGGCCTCACCAGCTCCACCAGGCCTCCCTAAAGCCACGCCTGTTTGCCCTTCGAGATACATCTTTGTCTCGTCCATCTCTAAGTTACTCTAGTTATTTACCTATCTTTTCCTGTAGATCTCCAGATCAGTCTTGTACCAGAGTCACACTTCATTCCCAGACCAAGTCCCAAGTCTAAGTTTCTCATCCTTTTTCAATCATTTGAATCCCATTTCTCTGGGAGTTGCTTGGCCATACTGATCTGCAGCATGTGCAATGATTTCAATCTATATTATAAATATGATGCAATCCCCTACTCGTCCCATATGATCTCATATACTCCTTGACCAATTCCAAGTTTGATATCACAGTCTGGTATCTCATCAACATCTCATATCATGTGGGTCCACAATAACGAACTACAAATTGGGGATGGTTTATTCAGTTTCTTGTTGCCCATCATGTCCCCACAAAATGGTGGCTGTTTTCACCTGTACTTCATCATCACCATATCAATCAATGATCCACATGGTTTTAATCGATAATAAGAACCCATGTGGGTCCATATCAACCCATACTGATCCATATGAATCCATATGGCAGTGTGTCAAAACCAATAGTATCCCTTCTGTTCACATCAAAATAGCTGGGTTAAAATGGATGTTCATCCCACTAACAATGGTATTGATAGGTATTGATCCATACCCATATGAATCCATATTAATCCATATTAATCACTATTATATAATCCATATGCGTTTTGCGATTTCAGCCAGGGCAGTACACCTTATTGCACTTGAGCCAAAGGTACGTTCGTTTGGTACCTTGGCAGTGCTGGTTCAAACGTCCCCCCGTTGTTGGGATTTTGGAGCACAAACGAAGGAAACAACAAAGGCCACCAAAGCAAGGCAAATGCGCTCCCCCCAGCCAGGAGCACGTATGCCGAGCACACACAAGAAAGTGCTCAAATCGCCAACAAAAAAGGATGACCAGCATACAAGATGCTCAGCAAAGATGCCTATGACATATTTAGTCAAGGCGGTGAAAAACAAATTAGGAGCTCTCAAGGGCGCAAAAGCGTAGCAAGGGGCAGCGCCAAAAGAGCTGCTGAACAATGCGAGGCCAGCGCAGTCAGCGCCACAAAAGGATGAGATCCTCATGCCGGCGACCCGAGCCGAACTCTGGAGTCCCGGATTACCGATCTTAACCCTTAGTCTTAACTAACTTACATTGATGACCCGAGCCGAACTCTGGAGTCCTACGTCCGCCAAGCATCGTCGTTTCTAGGGTTCCGGCCACTAAGGTCTTTACAGTTAGGGTCGGGACCATTGTTGCATACCAAGGGACTGGGGATCAAATTTACCAGGGGCTAATGCCTTTGTAAAAAGATCGCCCAATTGTTCTGAAGTAGGGGTTTGTGACAAAGTGCACCATGATGAACAAGCTTCAGAAAGGGACGCCAATGATAGCTTCGGGGTTCTGGCTAAATGGCGAAGTTTGATACTATATCCCTTGCGAATGGCTTGTACTACGGCGGAGTTGTCCTCCCGCACAATTGCTTTTGGAATTTTGCTCCCCAACAAAGTGGTCAAAAGCATCAAGGCTGGCGAAAGTTCCTCATACACACCTTCACTCAAGGCATTTAACTCAGCATCGGCTGTGCTCCTAGCAACATGCTGCTGTCTTCGCGATGACCATGCTATTGGACAGAAAGTACCGTTCGGTCCGCGAATGACGAGGAACAAACCACTGGTTGATTTAGCGGAAAAAGGGCATCCTCCTAAATCTGCATCCACGTACAGGTCTATGGTGCAGTTTTGAGGTTCATCACAAACCGTGGAAGTCAAACACAAATCTCTGGTGGAGTTTAGGTAGGATACCAAACGGTACAATTGTTTGTCGCTGTTCTTTGACCATCGTGTTACCTGGGTGGCCAAGGCACTGATCGCATAGGCAAGGTCTGGCCGTGCCAAGCGGCAGACCCAAAGAAGTTTCATTAAAACAGATGATGCCTTATGTGATATCTGGCCCTCAGTTTCGTAGTCTTCCTGGATCAAAACCCCTTCATTCACATATGGAGTTGAAACATTACGGAAAACAACCTTGCCCCCTGCGGCCTCAACATACAAGTCGATTGCTTGTTGACAATAGTCACGCATGTTGAAAATGCAAACATTGTTTGAGATCTCATGACTCCTACCAATGAACTGGTTCAACAACTCCACATCATCCAACTGAATGCGTTCTTTGAGGGAAGCCCAAAATTGGTCCTGGTGAGCTGCAGGACCAGCGACCAACACGTCATCTACATAGACAACCACCAACAACATGGTGTTGGGACAATAGTACACACTAGGATGACCTTCCACAGGCAACAAACCAAGATCCCCAATCAACACTTGTTTCAAATGAAGATCCCAAAAGGCAGAAGCAAGTGGATGACCGTATAATGCTTTCTTCAATAACACTGTGGGTTGGCGATACTTACCAAACCAAGTTGGCAACCAAAGCTCTTGTGGAAGCACCACATAGGTTTCTTCTTCCATCAAAAGCATGGCTTGAAGAAAAGCCCTAGTGCAATCGGCGGCCTTGAGGACGTTTCCAGAAAGGAGTCCGTAAAATATAGCCAAATTGATTGCCTGAATATTGGTTGGTGTCGAAAACAAAGCACCGAACTGTGCGGCACCTCCCCAGGAGTCTCGCACATTATCTCCTCTAAAGACAAGACGTCCCTTGTAGCGACGTTTTTGTGGCGATTCCCAGTGTTTGATGGATGCAATTGGCATGACTTCTGCAACATGAATCACCTTGTTTTCGCGCCGAGCTAGAGCTAAACGATCACTCTTTTCCATCACACTGTCATCATCCCATACAAACTTTTCTCGAACCCCTTTCCCTTCTTCTTTGATGGCCTGAATGGCCTTTGGATCAGCCCTCATTTCTTCACGCGTTAGTAACTTGTGAATGGCTCCAATAACACAAATTTCAGGAGTGTGAAAATCATGAAGCCTAGCTCTATGAGGGTCAATTTTGAAAGGAAGTACTGGCATCATAGGAACCATGTCCATGATGACCCCAGGAAAAAGTGTGGTGATAATGCAAATGGCCATAGTGGTATTGCGCAAGCCCGGCTTGACGGTGATCTTTCCTTCTAGCTGACCATGAAAACCCTTTGCATGTCTGCATGTCTTAGTCTGAAGCTCTCTTATGAGTCTTGGGTTGTCAGTCTGAATGGTCCATTTTCTTTGAAAGTGTTTTTCATCAGAGATGAAACCAAAAGCGCACGCGTCCATGTGAACTGCTTGCAACCCAAGGGACGACATACAGTTCTGTACTTTTGGTTCGTTCCACCCCTCTGAGTGGTGACTCCATTCAAAACTGACTGACCCGCCACGAGAGCATTGTACAAGTTCGGCTAAGCTATGAAACTTGGTTACCAAATCCAGCGAAGCAGCCCTGCATTCAATAGTATATGGAAGTGATCCCCAAAGATGAACAGGACACTTTTCTTGTTGGATTTCATCTTGCACCCACAGAAGGAGTTGCTGAAATGCGTCTCCATCTTCAGCGTTCAAACATTCTTTCGTTACCCCCAAATAGGAAATGCCCAAACTCTCAGCAATCTTGCATACGGGTGAAGTTTCCTTACAACAGAACTCAATGAAAAGGCCCTTGGCTTTCCCAGCTTTCTTGGCCACACCCCCGGGAACCGGAAGAAACTCTCCTAGCTCTTCATCAAAAAAACCAGATTCAGGGGTTGAAGCAGCTGAAGTTGGTGTATAACCATTGCTTTCACCCCTATCTTCATTATCTGGTGGAGGACAAATTGGCACCTCATCGTGGGCAAGCGCATCCTCATCTTCAACAATGTCAAACAAATAACCCTTTTCCGTTGGTTCTGTACCACGCATCACGTCACCATCTCCGCCGACATACCCCCCCCCGGGATCCAAAGCAAGTGGCTCAGCAGCATCTAACAAGGCATTAAACCGCGCACGACAAGCAGCAGTGTGAGAATAGGTGCCACGCAAGCAGCCATCGCATTCTGGAGTAGGCCCATACTGCAGCACACGTCGCTTGGTGATAGAGCGATTCCTGAAATCCTCAACACCTTCATCATCTACAAGGGCACGCGACGGAGGAATCTCGGGTAAAAGGCTTTTCAGCATGGGGACATGTGTGAAAGGGAAAATCCAACGACCACTGGGGGTCACAAAGTCTTTGGTTACTATCTCACGAACACGATCTGACTGAGTCAACGAGGAAAGATCAAACAAGATATGGACATCCTTACAACGCATGGCAGGCAAAACCTCTGGACCAACATAAATAGCGGGAATGCCACTAGGAGCAAAATCTTTAACCCGCGAAAGATACCAAACCAAAGCACCAAAGGGAACCATTCTGGTATCAGGTTGATATTGCAAAGCCATGTGAATTTTAGAGTCATACTCTACTGGCGGTGGTATTGGACCTTCAACCCCATCTGGTAAAGCATCATCTTGTTGACGAACCAAGTTTCGCAAACCATCGGGATCGTGAGACAATGCAGTGGTGAAATCATGCTGATATGTGAAACATGTCATGGCCCTTGGCCAAAACTCAATCCCAAGTCCGCTCTGCAAAAGTAAGGATCGGGCACCTTGACGTACATTCCGAATAGCTGATTCAGCAAGGGGATTATGCAGTGGATCGTTGGGAACTGATGGGTCAGGGTACAAACCCAAGTCACGAACAGCAGCCAAGATACTAGGATATCTGTCGGAGGCCACAATTGAGCGATTCTCCCTGCAAAAATGCCTAAGTGCGGCTTCGACAGACACCTGGGTTTTGTCCTTAGCAGGATACGCATGCATGACACCTGAATAGGCGTCAACGCAAATCAGGGCGTACTGTTCCCCCCGGAACCCTTCACTTGTAGACTCAAGATGGTCACATGCGATTTTCTGCAAGAAGGATCTGGGAGCTTCAATAATCTGGGCAAACTGCTTATCTTCGGATTGATTTTTAAAACGTTTATGGGCATGAGAACGAAGTTTTGCTTGCCTACAAACGTCACACGAAGGATGAGCTGGTTGATGAGTCAAAAGATGGTCAATTGGAATGCGAGGAGGAATCTTGGAATCTCCCTCTTCAAATGCTGGTGGTGGCGAGCCTTTAGGCTCATCACCTTCGGCTTTGTCTAGATCACCCGAAATGGGCCCCACAGGTGAACCAGAACCACGAATGATAGCTTCAATGCCCTCAATATCTGAAAGTTCATGTGGAGGATCTGATGAGACAACTTCTGGAACAACAGCTTCGCTCAAAGGAACATCTAGCGACCCTTCTGGAACGTCAGCGTCGAACGCCGGCATGCCAGATGCTACGGTTGCAGGCATCCCTGAAACAAAGGAAACTGATTCAGTAAAGATAGGCACACAGTGTTCTACTCGGGTGGCAGTCACACACCTAGAAGTGTCGCAACAAACCTCAAAGGAATTCCCAGGCGGCACAAGTGTTGGAACATGAGATGGTCCCCAAAAGAACGAAAACCCTTTCTCAACTAGCTTACCAAGACTACGAACATAAGGACATGACTTCAACATGTAAATCAAACCCTCACCAGTGCTCTCACCTTGGATCCCAATCGTCTTGGACGAATCTTTCACGCCCCCCCCCGTTTCAAATCGAAGAGGGTTGCTGGAAATTGTTTCCACATCTTGGATGAGTTGTTGAGGCACCCCTTGACGCATAAATGCAGGAATGGAAGCAAGATCTTCTCCAGCCCCACTGTCAAGCGCAAACTCGATGTCAAAGGATGAAGAAGCAACTGAAGCCGAGGTAGCGACATTGGCCGCGGTCCCCATTACCAGCATCGCAACTAAGCCTGGCTTGGACTTAGGTGCAGCAGGAACTGCTTTGGCCTTGGGCTGAGCTCCTGCAGTGTCATGACTGTACGGGCATTCAGCCCCACGTCGGCACAATCCCTTGGGGAAAAAAATGCATGGTCCTTTTGGCCTTTCAGGTTCATTGGAACCAGTTGACTCTTTCTTTGGAGCATTGCTCGGGTTCTTCTTGTCATGAGATTTGGAATCATTTGACAAACTTGAGGCAGGCGGTGATTGCTGAGAACCTTTACCTTTACCAAGCCCTCCTTTCCCTTTAGGTTTCCCTTTCCCTTTTCCTTTACCACCCTGAGTAGCGGCAACAGCAGCCTTGGGATCCGGGGAAACTTTGGAAGGAGAGGCAGGAGTTCCCAGCTTCTTGGGTCCTTTTCGCAGTCCTTCCTGAATTGAGGAAAGATTCTTTTCATGTTGTTGTTCCGCAATTTGACGTTGCAGCCTACCCCAAAGATACTCAAATGACCTTTCAACAGCATTGCTACCTGACTCTCGAATACGATCCAAAACAATTTGCATTGACCTGATTCTTTTCAATCTTTCGAAAAGCCATTTGGAAAGCATTGCATCTGGCGGTCTATCCGTGATTGGAAGTTGACTCAAAATGAATTGCACCCTATCTCGAAACGAAACTAGTGATGCCTGGTCACCTTCAGGACTGGGTATTTGGAAAAGTTCTACCGATGACACTACCCCACCTAGGGCTCCGTCCAAATCAAATTCGCGAATAATCATGTTCAGCAACACTCTTCCTCTAAGTTGCAACCCTTGTGTCATAGATTCTTCCAAATACGACTGTATGCGGGGACCAAAATAACCACGCAAACATGAATCGCGGGTCAGCCAACTGCACAGCATTCGGTCGAAACGAGGAAAGCCCCCAGAGTCAAATCTCAATTGCTCTACTTCATGTGGCAGCTTGGCATGAAAAGCTTCCATTAACCAAGTGTAGAGAAAATTCTGATCGCTCTTATCTAGGGCTATTAACATGGGTAACACCGCATTCTTCCAAGATCGCAATGCACCCGCCGAGTCTGGCAATGGCGGAAGTTTGACCGAAGATACATCTTTCCACCGAAGGCACTGATCCTCCATGGACACAGGATCATCATCATCATCATCCTCAGATTGTTGATTTGACCTTGGTACATGCCTGGCAGATCTGGCAGGGCTAAGTGGGGGAACTGGAGGTGGTGGAATTCCTGTGTCAGGGATCAATTCTTCTTCCGGATCACCTACAGCATTAATATCCTCAAAACCCCATTGTTCCAAGGCAACCAACCGCTGATTGATGTTCAAGAGATCGAATTCAAAAGTTCCCATCCTTTCAACCAATTGATCAATCCTAGCCATTAATTCCGCGTCATTATGTCTCAAAGAAGGTGACGATGTAGCCCTAGCAGAAATCAACTCTTGCTGCAATTCCCAAATCTGTGCTACCAAGTCTCTCTCCCTTTCTGCAAATTGATTCACCAAGGCTCTTTCGTGATTCATGATGGCCTGAGCTGCATTAGCCTGAGTCTGAGCAACAGTTTGCGCAGCTTCAGACGCGGTGTGAGCTGCAAAGGAGGCAGCTTGAGATTGAACCTGAGCAACTTCAACCGCGGCCTTAGTTCTAGCCTCAGTCACCAGTTGTTGTGCCTTAGACTCAAGAGAAGAAACAACTCTCTCTGCCTCGGCTCTGGTCTCAGTCTCTCTTTGGTTTGCTGAAAGGACTTCAACTGCAGCTTGTCTGACAACTTCAGGGTTGAGAGACGGAGCTACATATACTTGATTCAGCACTCTCTGATCTGACGGTCTCTCAGTTGGTCCGTTTTGTCCCGTTTCACCTTGGTGAAACCCTGATGGAAACCCTCTTCCTTCGGAAGGCGAGTCAACATTCATGGGTACCCCCAAGGATTGGGATCTTCTATTCCTACCCTTGGCATGGCCAACCCGCACCACGGCTGAAGATGGCTTTTTAGAACCGGTACGAACAGACCGAACAGAAGAACTTCTGGAACCACTTGGTGAGTTGTGCAACATTACTGGCATTGCCATTTCATTCTGATTCCCTGTTGATGAAGATGACAAGTTCAGACTCCCACTCCCTGACATGCTGTCGAGCTTCACTGGTAAAATCCCCGGTGGAACACTCGTGGAACCACAAGACGTGTCAAACTCTGGAGCCCTTCTCCGACAGACTGAACACAAGGCCAGCGACCGAATTTGTGGCTAGTGACTTGGACTCCTACCACTTGCCTAGATCTGATGGATTCGATTACCAGAGTTTTGTCGTCAACGTGTGCAGAACAATTAGATGAATCGACGCACCTCTTAAAATGATCAGCGGTGATTTCCAAAACAACCAAACGCTCTTGAGGGATTCCGTGGTTCGACAAGTAAGTGTTTAAATCGACCACTTCTTGTCTTAGCCTAGCCCGGCGTTCCCGTGATTTCTGTCCCTTTTCCCCAATATACGAACAAATCCCAATGCGGTGAGTCTCACTGGATTGCAAGAAATCTAGGATAGGTTTGCGATGGGATGCCCTGATGCCCTCAAAAGTTGGGGAGCCAGCTCTGTCAAGATTCAAACAATTGTGATAATCCAAAGACACACGGACCTCTAAAGGAGGAGGTGGCTTACTCGTCACAATCACAGGTCCACCGTCAGCCTTCCCAAGATTCACCAAGGGAGCACTGAGTGACTGCTTGGGCGGTGCTTTGGGAAGTGTTTTTGGCTGAACAACTGGAACAACAGGAGCGAGGGGAAACGCTAAGCCCTCAGCCTTTGGGATTCCCGCAACAGACTCAGAAGCTGCTGGACCTAGACCTTTTGCCTTTGGAACAACAACAACACAAGAGTCAAAAGAGGTGGCCAAAACAGGAGTACAGTTTGGTGACGGAACACTTAGCTCAGAGGACCTCAAACCAGGGAACTTTGGTGATGAAACGATGGGAGTTGACTGAGATGAAGTTGCCTTTCCTTCAACAGAACTTGCCGAAAAGCTGGGGTTGGTTTGACCTTGTTGCTTTGCAGCAGTGACAGGCACCGAATCCTCTTTGATGACAGCTTCAACAGTCTTAGGAAAAGCAACAATGGATGAGCTCTTAGCGCTACGATCAGCTGATGAACCTGCACCTGTGCTCACGAAGGCCTTAGGAACAAACTCACCACGCTCAAAGCGTTCTCTTAGAACTTGCTGTTTCTTTGCCTTTTTACCTCCACGCCTCTTTTTAGCAGGACGTTCGTCACTGAAATTTCCACTCATGCAACACAAAGCACCCTGAAACCCTGCTAGCCCCTTGCCTCAACCCGCGCCGAACGCGGAAGATGAGGGTGCAGATGAGAGAGACGGATAGTCCCAAGATGCAAGCGCAGTGAGCAAGAGCAGCGGCGCACAAACGGGAAGCAGCAGCTAGGCAACGAAAGCAGCAATAGCAAATGGCAAGCGAGGCACGAGTCGATACGGCTGGATAACCGCGTTTTGCGATTTCAGCCAGGGCAGTACACCTTATTGCACTTGAGCCAAAGGTACGTTCGTTTGGTACCTTGGCAGTGCTGGTTCAAACGTCATATTGATCCATATTATTAATCCACATATCAACCCATACTGAATCTATTAATCCACATAAATCCCCGTTGGATGACCCCAGCTACGTTTGTGGATCCACCTTCTGCCGTGCCATGGCACCAGGTGGCTGGCTGCCACCTGTAGCCGCTCTATCGCGCGCAAGTCCTGGCTCAGAACGTCCACGTAGCCGGAGCCCTGGAGGAAAAAAAATGGTGGCGGAAACCTTGGCTTTTACCAATCAACAATGAAAATGATAAAAATGGTGGTTATGGTACCTGGATGTACCTGGTATCTATATGTATCTATCATCCTGGTTAAGCTATATGTTATTATCCCAGAACAAAAACGGAAACGAGGTAAAGCCAATGGTCATCCATGCCTAATATTGGTTGTTAAAGGGTATTGTGCCGGAAACCCTGGCTATTGCCAAAGAACAAAGGGTATGAAATCCTTTGGGGAATCCTTTTTTGGGGTTGGCGTTCCTGTCAAATATTGATTGCATCCAAGTCTGTGATGGAGTCTTAGCCAATGGAACCTCAAATCCACACCAAAATGGAGATCTCTCTATATTGCATTTCCCATCAGTGAAAAACACAAGTGCCGGCCACAAAAGTTAAATATTTCTTTGAGCTATTGCCCATATCCATCTCACTCCCCTTTCAAAGCAATCACCCGCCATGTGCCTTTCGGGACTGCGCTGCTGCCACCAGTCTGCCGCGCGCTGTGTCCAGAGCGACGATATAGTCCCCATCTCCACAGCAATGCCGGGAGGCTAGCGCGAAGTCTACCATCGCTGGCGGGGATTCTTCATCTTGAGGCCTTGTGAGATACCTACTCCGGGGAAAGAATGGCAAAATGGTGGCTCTTTCTGGAAACGCTGCTGAGATGCCAAGCGAAATTGGATTAAAAGTCTCACACTGAGGGATAGCAGCTAGTTAGCAGCTAGTGGTAGCAGTCTAGGAACGCTCAGTGCGTCATGTTCTAAAAGACCTTTGTTCCTTCCTTGATCGTGGGACCTTTCGGGCCAAATCAACAAGTCCAGCCGCCCAGAATCCCACAGTCTCAGCATGTTTTGCCCTTGGGAATGTCCATGAATTCGTGAACGAGAACTTTTTAGCATCCAGTGTCTTGACAAATCCTGTACAAAAAGTCACGGATAGATTATAGATGAGATGGTGGCACCTACCAAGATGTAGTTGATATCCTGATTGAAGCATGCTCATGCCAGAGACTAACCATCAGTCGACTTGGTTGCTTATTGTTATCATACATGTACCCCCATGTCCCCATGTGTGCGAACTGTTTTACCCTTTGGTGATTTGACAGTTTGCCAAACTACAAATCACAATTTTCTACAGGTAAATCATCTATTTATAGCTATACCAGCTATCTATCTATCGATCGATCTATCTATCTATTCTATGTTATTCTATTCTGCTCTGTTCTATTCTAATCTAATCTAATCTAATCCAATCTAATCTAATCTCTCTCTCATTGCAAACCTATGAACCGGGACTCGTTGCCAGCGTCCCTTGGTCCCCTGCCGCTGCAGAGAACTCGGCATCGTCGGGGCGGCGAGGCTTGAACTCGTTCACCACGATCTGAGGCAGCGGCCAGTGAAAACTCTCCAACTGGGCATGGGTTTGTCTGAAAATGATGGACTTGACACGATTGAACCCTGAATTCATGGTGAACAATTGGATTTAGGGGTACCCTACATGTTCATTCATGCTCCTCACTGGTGGTGAGCTTTGATGACTTGGACTGCGCATCTCTCTGTCGATGTGTGATTCACTTCAACTGAAGAAGCACTATATCACACATATACATATTCAATATGTTGTCATCCGTGTGTGCTTACTACTTGATGCTTCTTTCAGAAGCATGCACTTAAAAAGCTGTCTCTCGCACTGGGACCTCTTGAACATGGCCAGATGCCAGGAGCAAGAAATCCCAAGCCCGCTCGTCCATAGGAAAGCGGTCTGGCCATGGTGGACATTGGGCTAGGGCGACATCACAGGCCAAATGATCCATGGTGTCATCATCATCATCATCGTCGTCGTCGTCGTCGTCGTCATCATAATCATCATCGTCATCGTCATCATCATCGTCATCGTCGTCATCATAATCATCATCGTCATCGTCATCGTCATCATCATCTTCATCATCATCATCATCATCGTCGTCGTCGTCGTCGTCGTCGTCATCATAATCATCATCGTCATCGTCATCATCATCATCATCGTCGTCGTCGTCGTCATCATAATCATCATCGTCATCGTCATCGTCATCATCGTCATCATCATCATCATCATCATCATCGTCACCGTCATCATTGTCATACCAAGACAAATATGTATGAATATACGCATGTGACTTCATGTAACACATATATAGTCTATAAATATGTATATATTATATATAATTATATATATATAGTGTACATTATCATCATTACAATCATTATTACATGCTCAGTGCTGCCGTGGCTCATGGCACCTTTGAACTCTCTCAGCCTCTCCAGAGTGGGACCTGCTGAATGACCTGGCATGGCAGGGTGATGCTTAGCAGCAATACCAACCATTGTAGCTATAACAAAATAGCTATAGCAATGACTACAGTTTAATAATGTCTATAGTTTAATAATGTCTATAGTTAGATAATGTTATATATTAGTATTATACTATCTATTCATTCAAAATGTGTACACATATATATATATATAGTCCATACTTATGTTTATGTTTTCAATTATTGAACTTATGTATTTATATTATTGTATATTGTTAAATTATTAACATATTTATCCATGTATCTATATGCATTCATCTGCTGATGTATCTATTTATCCGGCTATTTCTTTGACTTGCCTGGAGCGCCAGGCGTGTGTGCCGTGGTGCCAACGACCTAAGGGCCGAGTGCCGAAGGATACCCTAAATGGACTAGGTAATGAAATACGTGTAATAGCTATATATAAAACTAATATATAAGTAGGTTTATAAACTAACCAATGGGTTTCTGGGTTTATAAACTAAATTTGTGTAATATATAGTAAGGTTTATGGGTTTATAAACTAACCAATGGGCAATACTGGCAATACCCCACTAAAAATTGGTTCAACGCTTCAAGCACAAAAAGTTGCTCGTTGTCTACCTGTTTTCTTGGTTCCGGGAGAAAATGACAAAACTACGGATCCTGTTCGTTTTCGTTTTGGAGATGTTTGAGTTTTGAAACCAGGGATCTCGGCGTTGAGGAGTGCCCCAAATAAGTTTCATCTCAAGTTCCAACAACTTCGTGTTGGAATGTCCCATGCCCCTGTGTTCAAGGTCACTTCTTGCCGTCTCTCAGACTCCAGCCGCTCGCATCTTCTTCACCAACGAAGTGACCTTTGGATACCACAGACCACCACGACACCCATTGCGGTTCCCAGCTGAGGTTGCGGCCAGTGAGGAATAGTCAGGTTCGTTTTCAACCTTCGGTCTGAATTCCGACAGCACCTGTCGCTTCTCAGCAGGGCATCACGGCCTTCCAGTGCCTTCCTGCCCGCGCCTTCTGCTGGACAGCAGCATCGGAACTGAGAAGATAATCAAAAGCCCGACTCAGCCATGGACCGCGTGTCACCATCACCAGGTGTCACCAAAAGTGCCATGGTCAAAACATGACATATTGGGTATGGTCATCCCATTGGGAAATCCTCATATTTAAGATATATATAATTATAAACCGCACTTATTTATAGGGTATGATGATCCCGCGATATGGTTGTCTTATAGTCCAACTTTTGAACATTTCACACATGCTAAAACATCAGCTGATTCAGCATGGTGCACAGTCAGTCTCTGGGGCCCTGGCTCATCAATGGGATAACGTGTACCTTCAGAGGAACCCTGACCGGATGTCAACATGGCTTGTGGAATGGCCAATGTACAGAGCAAATTCTTCATGACAGCAAAGCCACAACTGGCCACGAAGCCCCTCTCTCAGTACCGGGCAGAACTGAGTAATTTCTTCTTCTGTTGGAAAAGCCACATCCTTGGTAAAATCTTTCGGCCATCATCCCGAAACAGCTTAGTATCAGAAATGAACCGATGGCTTTTCCCTGCTAATCCAACCTGACACGTTGGAAAATCCCCGTGAAGCAATCATAATCTATGGGGATCAAAAAAATGAAAGCTCAGCTCTCCGCCACCCGCGCGCGCTTGCCTACCTTGCACAGAAGGGCCAGTCATCCGACACAGCAAGTGCTGAGATCATGGGGGCTCACTGGATTGGGGGAAGGGAAACGTTGCGGGAAACACTTGTGGTTGCCATTGAATTTATAAAACGAAGGCTTCCAGTACATTCTCATCATTCTCCTTTTCTCCCTTCAGTCCATTCTGGGATTGGCTCAATCAGATCTGAGTCTCGGACCATCCCTCCATCATGATCCTCCTCACAAGTTGCATCAACCACCGACCATCACAGCCAGCGACCAGCGGCCCAGCCGTTTCAACCGCTCCTCGTAGCCACGTTTCCGGCCGGCCATGTCCTCCCCATGCAGGCTTCGAATGTAACCTGTTACCTGACGTGAGTAGTCCACCTCAGCAGAAGGTCATGGCTCCCACAAGTCCACAGGTCATTGCTCGTGTGCAGCATCAAAAATCGTCCCAAAACAGCCGATTTGGGCATCATTTTGAGGCCTGCTCTTAGCCTACGCTTGTGATTCAAGATCGAGGTCTGCTCCAAGCCTTCTGACAAGTTCTCAAAAGACTAAAGGAGAGTTGCCAACCTCCTGCTTGTTTTTGGGATCGAAGGTGTCTATGACCTGATGGGTGCCGATCCATAGCGATTGCAAAAGTGTTCACAACTAGGGTACCCCAAAAATCCCCAAAAGGTTTCTCATGGCTTGTTATGGCTTATTGAGGTTTATCATCATGCTCTCAAATTGCCATAACTGGGGGTTATTTCAGGTATCGGTATATATCCTCTTTTTCTCCCAAGTCGATCCAGAGCTCATCTCAATTCATCACAAGAAACTGCACATCCCAAGCGACCAAGGCGGCCACGCGTCTCTGAAGGTGCAAAGGGCATCCCAACAGGAGCTTTGTGGCTCGATCGTCCATGGGATATCTGTCCCAAAACCTACATGGCACGGGGCTAAGGCAAAGAATGAAGATGAATCGCTGGAAACTCGCAGAAATTTACACGCTCTTAGTCATCTTAATCAAGTTCTGAGCAGAAGTTCTAGATCATGTCAGAGCCTGCTGAAGCCTCTCCATTTTTGGTGAATTTATACCCTGTCACGCTGTGTGTGTGTGTGTCGTCTCCTTGTTTCTTAGTCATCACCCTCTCAGCAACCTCCGAAGCTCTTCATCCAGGTTCTCATCCTGAGGTGGGAATTGGTCTTACGATCGACTGGTTGGTGGTTTCAAGCCATCCTGGGACCATCATCCTATACTATACCATCCCATTCCATCTGTAGGGTTTCATTGGTTTCCGAAGTCGAAGTGCCTGGATGAACCTTCCGCTGGTTTGCGTTTTCAACTATAAATGTCTATGTTCAAGCTTAAGGCCTAAAAAAAACAAGAGGTGATGCCTGAAACTGCTTGAAACTTGGTCCAGCCCACACTGCACAAGTGCATTCAGCAGAAATAAAAAACGGACGCGATGTCAGCCTCTAGAGCCTGGTCGCCCACATCGAGCCTCGGCCGACAAAGCCATCAAACTGAGAAAGACCGCCCAACAGAGATACAGTGAAGTCGCAATGGTTCTCCCCCTCCTGCCTTTTCAATCTTGTTAAGAGCTTGATTCTAGTCCACCCACTGCAATTGACTGCGTTCCCGCGTTTTGACTGATGCTTGTGACGCGCAGTCTTTAAGATAGCTTCAAGCCTTTGGCCTGGGAGAAAGCACGGTATGAGCTCTTGTTGCCAAGCACAACGCTCAGTAGTAGGTGCCATCATCCTTGCCCTGGGCATCCAGCAGACCCTTCCAGTAGTTGGCCTCATAGGCCTTCTTGGCATTGGTGTCCACAAGCACCTCAACCTCACCGCTTCCCAAGAAGCCTCCCTGACGGCACTCAAACACCAGGAGGTTCTTCTTCTCCACAATCAAGCCGGTCAATGGTCCGATGATGGGCGGAGAGACGCACCAATCAATGAGTTCGCCGTTGGTCACTTTGAAGGAAGAACCGTGAAGAGGGCACACAATCACGTCCCCAATCACATCAGCGCCCTCGCTCATGGGCGTGCCAATGTGAGGGCACAGATTGCCCACGCAGAAAAGTGCACCGGCCTCAGTCTTGCCAATCAGGACATCGTTGCCGGCAAGTGTCAAGGCTTTCAACTCCGTGTTTTTCAACTCTGATGCCTTCACTCCAGTCTTGATCCAGGCCAGGGATGGCAAAATGGTCTGGGTAGTGTATTTGGCAGCAGTCTTGGCTTCTCGCTTGCGGCTACGAGCAACAGCCGCTGCTACGCCAAAGGCAGCTGTGGTTGCAGCCACGCTTGTCATGCCAAGGCTGGAGAAGGATGCATCTCCTTGAGTCCTTGCGCCACGAAGGGCCGGTGCTTGGGCACCAGGAAGCACAACAAAGGCAGCCTGAAGACAGCACGCGAGCATCACAGCTCCAGCAGCAGCAAGCAAAAAACGCGATGCCATTGGGAAAAAATCGGGCACGTGGCGTCCGCAAAATGCTGGCTATCTTGAATCTAAAAATACTGATGCATGCGCACACTTTCGGAGTTCTAATCACAAAGGAACTTTGTAGGGAAGTCATCACAGTCCTCAAGGCGAAGAATCTCTTGCTGCCAATCTCCATGTGTGCCGCGAGCAACATCGCAAGACAGGAAATAAAACTGAGCGGCCGGCATCGTCTAGGAGTTTGGGAAGTTCTGCATGAAAAGCCCCTGGCAAAGGGACCACTTGTTGCAAGGAACTCCATCATGTTAGCATACGATGGTGTGAGTCTCTCTATTGAATGTGCATATATAAAGTGCTCTTTCTAAAATAAGCTGCTGAATGTATTCAGCAAATTGATTCCAGCAACCAAGGCCCAGGCGCACACTTGCCAATATGCCTTTGGAAGGCAAGGCAAGACTGAGTCAAAACTATGAGACATGGAGCATGACAGGCTGGCATCAGAAAAAAAGCACCCAAGCGGCGCACAAACTGGGGCTCAAATTTCAATGCCGCGGCCCTTTCTCCCTATTGTATTGCTCATGCTTGAGAAGAATATCCAAAAATCCCAAGGAAAGTGCTGCCAACTGCTGCTTTTCATCAAGAAAAGATGCTCCCTATGCAGAGAATACTCTGGAGAAATGTAAGGACCCTGCCTGCTTCCACTGTTTTGACTAACTCTTGTGACGCACAGTCTTTAGGACATTACACGACACGAGACTCACAACTTGCCATTTTGACTCGACACACGAAGGTCAATCGCTTCAGCCTTGGCTTGGCCTTTTGGCCTGGGAGAAAGCACGGTATGAGCTCTTGTTGCCAAGCACAACGCTCAGTAGTAGGTGCCATCATCCTTGCCCTGGGCATCCAGCAGACCCTTCCAGTAGTTGGCCTCATAGGCCTTCTTGGCATTGGTGTCCACAAGCACCTCAACCTCACCGCTTCCCAAGAAGCCTCCCTGACGGCACTCAAACACCAGAAGGTTCTTCTTCTCCACAATCAAGCCGGTCAATGGTCCGATGATGGGCGGAGAGACGCACCAATCAATGAGTTCGCCGTTGGTCACTTTGAAGGAAGAACCGTGAAGAGGGCACACAATCACGTCCCCAATCACATCAGCGCCCTCGCTCATGGGCGTGCCAATGTGAGGGCACAGATTGCCCACGCAGAAAAGTGCACCGGCCTCAGTCTTGCCAATCAGGACATCGTTGCCGGCAAGTGTCAAGGCTTTCAACTCCGTGTTTTTCAACTCTGATGCCTTCACTCCAGTCTTGATCCAGGCCAGGGATGGCAAAATGGTCTGGGTAGTGTATTTGGCAGCAGTCTTGGCTTCTCGCTTGCGGCTACGAGCAACAGCCGCTGCTACGCCAAAGGCAGCTGTGGTTGCAGCCACGCTTGTCATGCCAAGGCTGGAGAAGGATGCATCTCCTTGAGTCCTTGCGCCACGAAGGGCCGGTGCTTGGGCACCTGGAAGCACAACAAAGGCAGCCTGAAGACAGCACGCGAGCATCACAGCTCCAGCAGCAGCAAGCAAAAAACGCGATGCCATTGGGAAAAAATCGGGCACGTGGCGTCCGCAAATTGCTGGCAAACTTTGAGCTATTAAACACTTCAGAGTTTTGAGACCTCAGCAGCACGATCTCGCAACCTAAGGAAGGATTTCTGGGTGATTTGGAGCACAACATTCAAAAAGGGCACCTTTTTCATCCTTTTCACACCACTGAACGGGTGAAACTCTGTCCCTTTGCACAGGGCGTCTTCCAGGATAGTCCATGGTGCCATCAGAAATCTGCATCACCATCACCACCTGATGCCCAAAGAGCGCTTTTTGAAATTGGATAAGACGGTGTCTTTCTGGAGTACATACCCAAGTGCAGGGCCTGCAGCATCCTCAAAGTCATCCCCCATTCCATCTTCAAAGTCGTGGTAGCCTCTGACAAAGAAATCGAATGGATATTCTGGCATGAAATTGTTTTAAAAATCAACGGGCTGTGAGAAAATGGAAGATAATGGAAGTTTCCTCAAGTGGGGGTGCCCCCGAATCATCCAAATCATAGTATTGAAACCTGTGGTCTTGGTGATCCCCCATTTTAAGAAACCCCCAAAATAGCACTGAAGGAACTGGAAAGATCCAACAAAACCTGCAAGGTCATCGTCGTCGCCGAAGATTTCATCATCCACATCCTCCTCCTGGAGATCTATCGGTTGCTAAAACAAGGGAATCGCGTTCCAGCCCCGTCTTTTAAGGGGCGTGAAGTCAAAATTTCAGGGAAGCTGGATTCTTTTCCGTGCACTCAAGGTGTTCCCAATCTTCCATGGTCCTCAACGTTGCCTTCAACATCATCCTGGCAATCGTTGCTACCAACACCTTTTCTCCATGGAACCTAGTGATCTCAAACTTCTCCGAAACTTGACTTGCCAACCCAGTCTTAACGGACACGTTGGTGCCACTGGTTCGTCCCTCTGGTTTTCTGATGTTTTCTGTATTTCTATGTATTTCTCACAGTGATGGTCAGACCCTCACCGTGAATTCGGAGTCTTGCCGTAGCCATAGCCTTGTTGTCCTTTTTCTTCTCCTCGCCCTTCCCTTCCTTCCCTTCCATCCTGGCGTGAGACATTCTTGCAGTCTTCAATGGCTGGCATGGCTTTCTTTTCAAATTGCTCTCAAGTCTGCAGAAGCTGATCCGCTTCCACAGATTTCCACACAAAGCTCAGCTGTTTTGGTAGTTTGGGCGTGTTACAGTGCGCCAGCAGCCTCCATGCACGGATCCCAGATGTCTGTGCATCTAGGGAGGCCCTTTGTGGCCAACAGTTCGGGTGACCGGCGACGAGTCACGCAGATTTGCGGATTGATGTTGGATTGGGATGGCAATACCCATACTTTCCTACATGCAACGTTGAAAGCATTGACTGAGATAATGAAACTTCAAACATATATTCAAACCTCCTTTGGCAATAGCTTTCCGAGTCGCAGCCTGTTTCACAGGCAAGCAACAAACTGCCCCTTGTCAACAGTCACCAAGTGTCCTATCTAGTACAGCTGTTTCGCGCGGCTGAATTCACGCAGTGCTTCGATCATTCAGAGTTCTTCTCGAATGACATGAAGCTCGAGCTAGTCAAGTTGAGAAACTACACTGAGTACATCCATAAGAAGCCATGGTGCAATGGCCCCATTTTCACACAAAACGTGACTGGCCCATACTGGCTCTACGTGTCTTGTCTGCATTGGCATGATAAGATGGGCCATGGCTTCAATCGCTGCTTGCTGCAGCCCAGCAGTTCAAATGATTTCAATTGGATCATTAACTCACCCCAGCACACTCCAGCACCTTTGGCCCTATGACCTTTGGCTGACCCGACTCTGTCTCAGCTGGGACGCCTTGGTTGATCGAAAGGGCCATCACTTTTTGCGTGCACCCTGTACCTAAATTCAGTGCCGGCAGCCTCCCGAACTTCAAGAATGCTTTTCACTGCTCACATGTCACACCTCAAAAATCCCTCACCCCAACCTACCACCTGCTGAAGAAAGCCAGCTGTGGGCCCCGGCCAACGCTTCGCAGAAGGGTGATGATTTCATGATCCACAATGGAAATGCCAGCCTCCAGGGCGTCCACGTGGGGTGTTGGTTGGATCGAGGTCGTCGGATCGGAATCGAAATGGTTCGGATTGGCACGGCTGGATCGGAATCTACATCGGGACGGTATAGATCGCAACCTTACGGACTACCCCGACCCTCCCGACCATCCCGACCGTCCCTAAAGAAACCCGAAAGAAACCCTAAAAGAAACCCTAAAGAAACCCGAACGAAACCCGATCATCGACCATCCTGACCATCCCGACCATCCCGACCATCCCGACCATCCCGACCGTTTATTCACGATGTTAATCCAGGATCGTCTTTGACGCTGATTCTGCGACGCTGATCCGAACCTTTGGATGTTGATTCCGGAGGGTGCTTTGTGACGCTGATTCGACCGTGGCAGCCAGGACATGTCTGGGCCATGTCCGAAACAAGCGCCTCCAGCGCCATGTCCTTCAAACGATCTGGGTCAACACCGTCTGGGCTTTGCCTCGGAGTTTCGCGGGTTTTTCTAGCGGTGAATGCCAAGGGGCTGATTGCTGTATGACTTGAGGTGGTGTGGGATGTGCCTGATTCTTCGAATATGGCCTGTTCTGAGTCAACACCATCAACCATCTACTAGCCATCATTCAGGAGGTCACGATTTCAAATCATTCACTGCTAAGCATGTTGCAGCCCCATGGCAGCCCCATGGCAGCCCCATGGCCCCCGATCTGAATCTGGGCATGGCACATCTCTGGATGATCTGCCAGAGGCAGCAATCGCTTTGAGCATTCCACAGGATCAGCATATGGAAACTCCTTTGGCCGCGCCTGTGGCAACGTTTTGGAGCTTCCAGGACTTGATTTATACATCCTCTGATGTGGATTCCGAGAATGCAGCACGTGACTGTGGAATCTGTTTATATAGTGTGTGATGGAAAAGTTGAAGCATCATCTCGAATGCACGGTTGAGAACCTATTTGGACATATTCCCTTGTTGTGTCAAAGCAATCTTCGATCCAGAGTGTCCATACTCTTGGTTCACATGCGTCCGAAATCCCAAATCATGAGTTCCTGGAAGCTTCTCAGCCCCTACCTCCAGGAATTGCAAGCAGCGCTCATCCGCCCGAACGATTTGCCTAAAAATTGACAAGCAAAGGTCCTAGCTCACAGCCCGAGCGCCTAACAGCGCCTAACGGTGCCTCACAGTGCCTACATACCTGCACGTTACTGGGGAGGCACCACAAGACGCAATGGCAGCAGTGAGGGTCGGGCAAAGGCTGCGCAGCAATTGTGATCACTTTGCCCACGTACAAGTCATGGAGTTTGAAGTAGCTGCCTCTGCCAAGGGACTGGCATCACAGGACCATACAGTACCATACAGGACCCAGACGGAAGGCTGGGAGTTCCTTAAGCTGTACACTATCTACTCTATATGTTCTATAATAACCGGAGAGAAGCTCATGAGAGAAATACTCTGAATGAGATGCGCAGTTGAAGTTCATCCAAGCTGCCTGTGTCTGGATTTTTCAAGAGCCTCTTCTCAGAGAATCTGCCTCCCATGTGCCCACTGTTGCGCACCGGAACCTGATCAGAAGATCAAGCCGGCCATTGTGACATGTGGCGCAAAGTGGCGCAAAATGGCGCACTGGTTCAAGGCCAAGATGGCAGATGTCATCTCAAAGTTCATCTTGATAAGACCAAATCTTATGGTGTAAGTGTATATGTAATTTTATGTATACATATATACATGGTATTCGTATGTTTGGTGGCCTTGTGTCTGTACACTTAGGCACCCCAAGAAAACCCGCGGCTCCCATCACCGGCACCTCAAAAACTGCCATTTCACCATCTGCTGGGTAGAAGGCAATGACCAAACGTCGGAGCTCGTCTTCTGGCTCGCCGTTGATCATCTTGCATTCGAAGCCTGACCCACTGGGGTGACCGGGTGGGAACCCAACGATTTTTGGGCTGCAAAGGTGGGGTTGAAATTACCAGCACCATTATATCATGATACCTATACAAATGGGGTTTGAAACCTAGTCGTGAATAGGTTTGATGGATTTAAGGGATATTTTTTAATATATAAACATATGTATATATATATATATACACACTGTACATATCTGTATACTCATTAAGATTTGGTCTCTGTGAGTTTTCTCAAAGTGATGACACTGCTCTGGGTGATTCCATCTTGGGTTCCCGGCGCAGCGCATCTCCACCATACACCAGCATTCTTTCGAGGTCAATCTGCAGCAGATTCACTTGTCTTCTGAGTGTCCAGTGATCTCCCCAGAAAGCATTTGCGATTGCAAGGCTGTCCCTACCCGGAACATACGTTCCTTGGAACCGTCCGATGAACAATCAACCCAATGAAATTCAGCATCCAATGAACACCAGTCACCACCAAAACTAGGAAAAAAATATAAGACGATCCTCCAATAATTCACCATCCAAATCATCCAATACTTCACCATCCATCATCCATCACCATCCAATGGAAACCACAAGACTTGACACCTTGGGAGGCTTTGGCTGGATCATGGTGCAGTTCAGCAGGGAGTCCTCCTCCTCCAGGGGCCAAGGCTGGCAACCAATTGGGCGAGTGGAAAACGAAATGATGCATATATATAATTATATATATATATTTATTTATTTATTTATCTATTTATTTATTTACTTATTTATTTATTGACTTATTTATTTGTTTATTATTTATTTATCTATTCATTCATTTATTTATTCATTCATTTATTTATTTGCAGACATATATAATTTATTATATAATTATATAATTATAGAGAGAGATAGATATATGGATTTTGATATAGATATTCTTAGACTATTTCTGGCTGGTGAATCTGGTGTGGATTTATATGATATTATATGTAGATTTTAGTTAGGTATCCACGATGTTCAAGTGAAATTCTGGAAACTCTGGCGCGAACGCCTTGCCAACACCGCTGTGTGGAGGCGGCGTGAGCTTCAGGTGCGTCAGAGGCTTCTCACTCACATCAATACGTCCCTCGAACTGGTCAAGACCTTCCAGAACGGAGTTGTGGAGAAAATTCTACACATAAAAAAATGCATTTCTGAAATACCTCCTAATATTTTTTGAGCACCACCAATTACAAACAGCCTAGGGCCTAGGCCATCTGAAGCGCATAGAAAATCAGAAAAAACTGACAAAACTGACATCACCTGACCCAAGACAGCAATGTCCGAGAGACCCAGGTAGTCGAGGTAAAACTTGCGGGTGAAATCGTCACAGTCATATAGGACCACCTGGAGCTGGGTCCCTGTCATGTGACCGGCATTGGTAATGTGGTGAAGCCAATACCTATAATGGTAATCTGGGTAATCTGTGGTGAAAAATCACCAGTTATCATCTGGTAATTGGTAATCGACCCAATTCTGGGATTCTGATGGATTCTGTATATGACCCATTCCGATCCATTTCCTGCAAACTTGGAATTACGGAGGGCTCGAACAGTCAGCGCTTCGCCGGCACTGAGTCTGCCACCTTCCTTCCCCATACCTTGATGGAGTCTCCCACCTGCGATGCCATCTGCAGATTCATGGATTGGTCCACTTTTTTGGGGGCGATCACCACCCCAAAAGCGACTTGAACCATCCTGGACCAAATCAAAGATCCCAGCAGTTTGACACCGGATGTCCGGCTGTACCTTCAAGTCCTCTGGCAAATACAGCGGCGCTTGAGAAGAAAGCATGGCGGGAATCCCATTCACAAAGTTGCCTCGGCAGATCAAGAGAGCAGGTGGGAACCTAATTCTGCTATATATATATGTGTGTATATATATATATATGCTATAGCATCCAGAATGTAGTTTTCCTGGTGGATGATTCACTGCTGAAATAAACCAATTGACCACTAGTGTATTTAAACACAAAACACAAACGCTTAATCGCAGCCCAGCGGCTCTTGCGCAATGGACCACGCTTCATGAAGATCTCGGCGAAAGCGAAACAAAGTCGGAATTCGCTGTTGATTGGTTGAGGGGTACCCTCTGGTAAACTAACATAGCTATCGAAAATGGCCATTTATAGTGGATTTTCCCATTGAAAATGGTGATTTTCCATAGCTATGTTAAATTACCAGAGGGTAACAAAGTTGCCTCCAAAAATCATGATCAACATGGATCAGTGTAGCAACCCCGAAAAAGATAGAGAAGTGATTTACCGCTGTCCTAGTAGGATTTTACTCAAATCTACCCTCCTGCAATCAAACATGGCTAGGTGCGAATTTCCCCGAATGAAGGTTTTGATGAGAAAATCATCTACAAATGGGTGATATTTCAGCAAGCCATGTGTGACTTTCGGAGGGTAACCATTCATATCCCATAAATAAATCCCTATGAATCCTTAAGACAGAAATATATAGAAATATCCCATCGAATCCCTCACATCTATTAAAGAAAACCATCAACCATGGGAGATCAACATGCTTTTCCCCTTTCTAACTGGATTTCCCCATGTTTTTCCCATGTTTTTCCCCATCAAACCCTCCATGGATCGCCAGCTGGAGCCCCGCGCCGGCCAGGCCGCTCGCCCTGAGTTCCGGCAGTGAGCCTAGCATGGGATCGGGCGTAAGGAGCAAACATGCAAGATACACATACATGTATATATACATATATATATTGTGTGTGTGTGTGTTTGATGTTCTCATCTCTATACATAACATTATTTAACTATATAATATTGTATATAAATATATGTGGTGTGTGCATACATGATGATCAAACTAATGAACGAACGAAGGAACGAACAAACTCACTAACTAACTAACTAACTAACCAACCAACTAACTAACTAACTAACCCAAAGAGTGATATAATGTGATGTGCAACCCAGCTAGTGGGCAAACCATGTTACAAGCCAGTTACACTTGGGATATTCCCGAGGTTTACGCAGGCTATCAATCACTCACTAATTGGGATGCACCCACAGGTATGTCGGGGGCGGATCAAGACTCTGGCATCTCTGCTGCGAAGACATGCCAAGCTGGAAGGCCTCGTTGATCTCACAGGTGTTGTCCGCTAAATAGTAGTGGAGAATGAAATAAAATCCTCAGAAACGCTGCCCGGCTGGACACCTCTGTGTCGGATGATTGATGACCAATCTGGAGCTAGTGCTAGTTCAATCTATATAAATGAATTTTGACTTCCCACAACCGGCGATTTTCACTGCCGGTGAAGAACAAATCCCGTGTTTCTTCTGGAGGCTGTTCAGCAATACGGCAGCATTGAACGAAATCGCCTGTATGAGGAATCCCTTCATGAAAACAGCAATCAAGCAGTACCCTCTGGTAAACTAACATAACTATGGAAAATCACCATTTTCAATGGGAAAATCCACTATAAATGGCCATTTTCGATAGCTATGTTAGTTTACCAGAGGGTAAATTGTCCCAAAGGCCTGGTCCCTTTGAATGGCCTTTGATTTGATTTCTCCCCACCCATCACACCCATCCCACCCATCCCACCCATCCCCACCCATCACACAGCACTTTCTTCGCAGAACAGTCCCAGCAATTCCCCCATCTCCATGCCATGAATCTGGTGCCATATGGCGTATGGTCGTCCCAGTAGCCCTCATGACAGGGGGGTAGCGGTTCAGGGATGCTCCACCAGTTCTTTCCACTGACATCCTTTGACCTTTACTATTCTCTATGTGTTACATTTTTTCGAAACAATGTAGAGGAGAAAAAAACATGAAGGTTTTCTCAGTTTTCTCACCCCAGCTACAGGAATCCCTTGAAATTTTCATAAATTTCCCCGAGCTGCACCTTGAAGCGCAGGACCTTTCGGTCGTTCAGCAGGAATTGAGCCAGCTTCTTATCCACTGGAGGAATGCCTCCAAGTGCTCGAAACATCGCCTGCAGTCGGCTGCGGCCAAACTGGTGGCCAAACAAACCTTTGGCACATTTTGGCACCATGTTGAACCAGGGAAACTCCAAATGCATCAAAATGCTGCATTTTCAAGTAGTATATCCTACCGTAAATCTTGCTTAAAGTTTGCATACCAAAGTACGGGTACATTGCTACTGGCCATTTTACGGCTCAAACCCTGGGATCTTCATGCCATTCCGAAGACATCCGGTTTTTGGTCCCCAGTTGTCCAAAAAACACGACGATCTCCAGCAGCTCCGTCCTTGTCGTCCATCACACCCTTGGTCAACGGAATTCCACCTCGATCTCTGGCCTTTCGGATGCGATAGTTGGTCTGCCAAGTGTCAATGGGAATCTCTTCATCCTCGGCCACTTGAAGACAAACTGCCGATACTACGCGAGGTGCAATCGATTGGAATAGCTACTATGGTCATACTCAATGTAGGTATTATATGTGCATACATAGAGAGAGAGAGAGTGTGTGGTACCAAATCATATATATATACAGTATTATACAGTATAAGTTGAACGTATGAAGTCAAAATTGTATCTATATTTTGATGTCGCTGCAGCGGGAACAGGAAACAAGCCACCAAACGCCCCAGAAAGAATAGCAAGAATAGAGGACCGAGGCACTTCTTCAATCACCACCCCATTTTCCTCGTAGAACCATCTGGTAAAGCGGTCACAGCCACAAATGTGGAAGGTATGTCCGCAAATAGTTACCTCTGAACCGATGTGGAAATCATCTGGACCCAGATAAGTCCCATCCTCTTTCTGTACCTTCTGTCTCTTCAGGAAGTTGCCTTGTGGCATACCCGAGTTCTCCACCTTTGGCTCATTGATGCCCAAGGTGCCATCCTCCATGAAATACATGATGTACACATGCCGGTAACGACTATTCTCCTCCGCGCTCTCCGTCACGGTCTCCTGCGGATGAATCTCTGGTAACGGCTGGCTGATCTGTAGACAAATGGAATAAATGGATATGGATTCTGGATTCTGATGATGTTACAGTGGCCACTGCAGGAGGGCGCATACTTCTGAAACAGGAAATGCAAGGATTGAAGTTGGAGAGAAACTGTCCAGGGAAACCTACTCAAGCACTTTGGAGACTATATGGGCACAGTCCCAAAAACATGGGTGACGTCCTGAAAGAATCCATACCAGCGAAGGACCTGTTTCTCATGCTTTAGCCACGCTGGGCTCACCCTCGGGTGCCTCATGTTCTTGGGAATGATGTCCTCCTCCTGAAGGCAGCAAACAGGCAAATGTTGTTTCTGCCGGAACTCAATCCGAAAGCACGCGAAAAAAGGCGGTAGAATCTCGACCCACGCTTGTGGATGTTTGAATCGTGAATCCTATCGATCGTCCTTGCAAGGCCATGCTATCATGTGTGTACTGTGCAGTCGGTGTCATTTTTGTGAACGCTGCCCAGTCCTGCAACATGGGGCCATCTTCCTCTTCCCGATAGCAGGTCCGCCAGCCACCAGTCTTCAGCAAGGATGCCAAGTGGCGACTGCGCTCAGTAGCTTCAGGAGATCTCTTCAGATCCACTGCTGACTTCAAGTTCCCAGCAGTCTTGAAGCCCAGGGTGGTTTTCCGTGCGTTGCCACTGAAGCTCTTAGGCTTGTCAGTTCCAATCTTGTAGAGACCAGGCAGGGAGATGGATTTGCTCAGCTTGGACGTCATAGAAGCGCAAACGCCACGCGGCCAGGCAGCGAAGTTCGGCTGCCCCTGAACCACAAATGGCTGCCCCACCATGCAACTTCCCGTGCCTGCAACTAACAGCGAAAAAATGACTAAGAAACACTTCACTGCCTCTGCACGACTCAGGATCTGCATCGCAACTGGTGCGGGATTGCTCTTGCAACCAACCCTAGATACCATTCTACCACCATTTCCTTTTCTGGATCTTTCTGGCTCTCAACTCTGCTTGCTGTGCCCTTGGCTATGCCCAAATCCTTTGGCGGATCAGGACCCAAATCGACCTTCTTCGAGGTGAATGCCCAGAGACAGATCTGCAGAATCATCCGCAGATCTGGTGAGACAAAGCCTTGTCGCAGTGGAACATCACAGAAGGCAGATCGCGTTCCCCTAGCCTAGCAGTTCAGATATTACAAAGATTTGATTAGCTGACGCATCATGATGTCTCTATTTCCACAAGCTGCAGGAACCAGACAAGTCCAGGATGTATTCATCTCAGCAAGTCTGCACTTCCATGGCCAAATGCCTCCTTCTACAGAGACCTGAAAACCCTACAGTGGGTAGTGCTGCTACCCCAGCAGGCAAAACGGCCCGCAAAAAAATGGGTGGTAGAAACAGCTGAAGCCATCTGAGCAGCGCCCCAAACCTCCACTTGCACTGGTTGATTGAGAGCAAGTAATCCCCATTGAACATTGAACCAGTTAGTACACATCAACAGGGGTCAACTGGGCACTGCTCTGCAGAAACATTTCATGTCCCGCAAGGCTGTTCAGCTCTGAGCACACTGAAGTGCCAAGGGTCCAAGGACCCTGGGTGGCTGGTTGTCACCACCAGCTACTCCGAAGTGACGCAGCAGCGTCACCACTTCGTGGTCCACCAAGTAGACCCCTGCGGCGGCAGCCAGGTCCTTCAAACCTGGGTGGATGGCACACACAGACTGGTTGAAAAGGAGGAAAGATAGCACTTCCCCTATATTATATATATATATCATATATCAATTATATTTGTTCAAAGACATACTGAGTTACCGGCTCCAGGGCGACATTGGGGGCCGAATTCGGTCAACTTGAGGACAGTTCCATCCAATTTCTCTCATTTGATTTGGGTGGTTACGCAGCGATTCGGCCAGGCAGCGGTCTGGCTCAAGACCCTTCTCGTCTTGCATCTCTGGCTCAGCTGCCAATGGCAAGATGCGTCGGGCACAGGCCAGCGGGCTGGCGTAGGGGAACTCCTCTGGATGGGCCTCAGTCAACTAGGCAGTAGCAGAGAGGCTCTGAGCAGTCAGGAACTGCTGCGAAATGATCCGAAAAGGATTCCATATTTATTTTTGTGATTATGACGTTTCACACCTGAGACTGAGCAACGACATCCTGCGGATGTTTAATTCAGTGGCTTGAATATTCCTTCTGATTTTGGTGATGTCTGCATCACTGCCCCATTTCACTCACCAGTTGTTCGGGCCTCAAGGTATTGCAAGCAGTGCTCATCAGCACGGGTGATGCGGAGTGGCTGCGCCGCGATCACCACGGTCTGCCCCACAAACAAGTCCTGAGCACCACTGGATGGACTGGTAACAAACCCGCAATGGTCGGTTTCCATCTGAGGTGTGTATACCATACCCCGAGAGATGCTGTTTTGGAGGAGAGCTAGGCTTTCGTTAAGGGACTGGAGGCCAGGGAACATCATGAGATGAGAATGCAGCCATGGCTCACTCAACTTGAAATATTCCCCAGTGGCCGGGTTCTTGATGCGACGCTTCTCTGAAAATCGACCACCCATATGGCCACTGTTTCGTATTGGCTCCTGATGCCGATTCAATGGATCCATCAGTGCCTTGACTTGCCATGCCAAAATGATTGTGTGTGTGTGCGTGCTGGTGGCCGGGAACCAGTAGACTAGTAGGCATGTAAGACTAGGCATGGCCAAAAATGAGATGATACGAGGGCTTTGCAGCTACCATCTTTTCGCAACGGTAGCGTTCACCTCGAAGACAGCAACTTCATCATCTGCCAGATAGTAGGCAATCACCAAGCGCCGCATTTCATCTTCAGGCTCTCCGTTCCTCAGGAATCTCAGGACCATCTAGCCACGGAGCCAACAGGCAAGCCCCCGAAAAGAGAAACCGGAGTCCTGACCGTCCTGACCTCCAGAACTCTGGTCACACCTAGGGTGCCTTGAATTCGAGCTGATCTTTGATGGCGGTCCCAGCCTGCTGCATCCTGGCACCCTTCATCTGAACCAACATGAAACAACACACCCATTGGATGGCCGCCAAGCTGCACCATCTGACATTCAAACCTCATGACTTCGCCGGTGTACAACATCAGCTTTTCCAAGTCCACTTTCGGAGGCTTTGGCTGAATCATGCTGCAGTTGATCAAGGAGTCCTGCAGTGTTATCATGTGGAGTTCCCATCGTTGGGCCCTGGAAACTCCATCTTTGAGACACACAGGCATCGACGCGGTCCTCTTCGCGACCAACTCCATTGTGGGGAGGCGGCGTCAGCTTCAGGTGCGTCACAGGTTTCTCGGAAACATCCAGGCATCCCTGTCAGAAAATGGGTGGTGTGCGTGGGAAGAGTTCAATCACGGGTGGAACAAATATACGACAAATACATGTATCTGCATTGACAATGACACTGTAATTACACATGCACATACAGATACACACACAGACACACGGACACGCATTGTGTTACATTACATTACAAGAAATTACATTGCATTAACATTGCATTAATATTGCATTACATATCATTACATTGCATTGCGCATAGCATTGCATTGCATTACATACTAGTAGCTTCATGTGCAGCCATAGTATACAGCTCACGTGCACACAGTGCATATCAGGTGCCACTTGTTCTCTTCTCGGCTGTTCAGACTGTGCCGGAGATCCTGCCTCACGCTGGTCAATGTCCATGTACTGCTTGTAGAACTTTTGTGTCGCATCATCACCTCAGCATCACCATCGGATCCATCGGATCCATCGACTCACCATCGGCTCAGGGCGGGGTGATCCAACCCATCGGCCGAGCGGCAGTCGTAGATCACCAGCTTTCGCCCCCAAACGTTGATGGACTGTCCCACTCGGAAGTCGTGGGGGTAGTAGATCTGGCCTTCTGCTGCAAGCAGGCCTGCCAACAAATCACCGTTTAGCTGCAACTCAAAGGGGCTAGGCTATACTTATGATGTGCATCCAGGTGCAACTGAAAAGTCTCCAACAATTTCTCGCAAAAGATTGAAAATATACGGTAATCTACGGTCGGTAATCATGCAATCTCCGAAACTTTCCGTACCTGACGGCAAGAAGATCAAAAAATCGACTGCGATGCAAGGACTGCAGACCGCCTGGTACAGCCAAGACCTGGTTCTTCTTGGACAGGGGGCCGCGCTTCATGAACATCTTAGCCATCGGCAACTCATCAAGTGCCAAGAGTGTTGGCCAACTGCTCAGCCAGAAGAATCTGTTCCATGCAAAAAAATCAGATGCCAGCATAAATTCCAAATTGGCAGATCGCCACTGGTTCCCATTCCGTCACTATTATGAACTCCTTATATATTATATTCCATTGTTTGTTGGTTAAATCGATTGTTGGTTGGTGAATCCCCCACTGGAATATTGATCCCATGGAGTATTCTGCAGGTATGGTTAAACTCAAAAAAAAACACCAGTAGCTGCAACATCTTCCGACGGCATGGCCCACTCCGAGGCACCGGATAGGAATCGCGTCCAGAGTTGCGGCAGTGAGCCTCGTTGATCTCCACCGTGTTGTCCGCCAAGAAGTAGTGGATGATGAAATAGATCCGCGCTCCATACCTGGTGACCCAAAGGTTAGTCACTGTTTGGACATATGTGGTTATTCTATATGTTATTCTCTATCTCCATCGCCATCTGTCATGTGGTAATTACATGTATTGTATCTATGTGTATTTACCATTCTTTATCTATCCCGAAAATGGGGATATCCCCAAAATGCGTGTTGATAAGTTTGAGCTTCACCTACTAAGGACCTACTAATGTCTGGCGCGGATCAAATTTCCAAGCTGCGGTGTATGATCATCCCAATATGCCTTGAAGCGAAGCACCTTCCTGGCAACGGTGCCACACGAAAGATGTGTCGTGAGGCCTTGACTTCTTACTACATCTAACCTGGGCAATGGTGCTTGCAATTTCCAACCTGAACAGTCACCATTTCCGGGTGATTACAGTAGATGTTCATGAACCATCAACGGCATCAATGGGCTTGGGCCAGATTTCCAAATCCTCTAGCTTTTGCAGCTGTCCAGCTGTCCTTTCATTGAGGGCAAACTGGGTGAATTTCATGTCCACATGCGGAGCCCCGCTCATGTACTTTGCCAGGTGTTTGGCCTTGGAAAATTCCCCAGCGATTGGCAGTATGCTATGTTGCCAACACCTTTACATACACGTGTATATGACATATGACATTTGATATCTGATGTATATATATATATATGTATATATTGCTTTTATATATGAGTATAGAAATATATGTGTATATGTATATATATATATATATTGCTATTGATCTGATAGAAGAATATTGATATATTACTTTATGTTTGCTTTGTATGTTCATATGTATATATATATATATCTTTATATATTATAGAGAGAGAGAGAGACGTGTGTGTGTGTACCATCTGAACAGATGTAAAACTTCTGATTGGTTTTCACTAGTTTGCAGGGGGCGACAGGGTCGCTGCATGGCTGTCGCCAACGAAGCTCCATGCAGTTGACTAGGATATGGAGTCTGATCAACTCCACGTACCTGCTTTCTCCGACATAGCAAGGGGCCAAGCTTAGAACCCCAACAACAATATTATACAATTTGCTGCACTGTTGTCGCAATCTGGAATCATTTTTGACTTTTACATGCATCAGAACCTTCCTCGGATTTTCGCCGAAACCATATCGCCGACAGTATTATGTTTTTTGATTTATTTTCGCCGAGATGATGTCGCCGACGACTATGGGTTATTTTGGGAAACAATCGCCGAAACATTATTGTGGATTCTCAACATGCTGGTTAAAACTCTATGGATTCTGGTTTTGACTTCGTTTGACAACATTGGATGCCCTACATCGTTTTCGAGAAGTACCTCATGTGGCTCCTTTACTAATCTAACGATCTAGGCTGGTTTGCATGTTTCAGGATTCAGTTCCTGCCGGATCATATAATGATCCATTCTTGTCTAGTGTGATTTCCACATGGTGGCTCCGACATGGTGCCATGGAGCCACTTGAGGCAACCCTTTTCAGGGTGAGTGTTGACAGTCTTGAACTCTGAATTCACACATTTTAATTTGGTAATTCGTTTACGTAATGTGCAACAGCTGGCCTTTCCGTTTTGCACCTTTTGTGATGTCCCGCGCTTCCGGCTGTCCTTTATGCACCCAGTGAATGCATCTCTATTGAGTGAAGCCACTTCGAACTACCAGAAACCTTTTTTCTCTGCAGCTTGCGCATTTGAAGTTCAACATGACATTCACGACAAAAGGCAACAGGCATGTCCTTTTCCTGCAGGTGTGGTCTCTTTGGTTTTTGGTGAGGTGAAACATTTTGTGCATCTCATTCGTTGGAATTTGGAAGCTGTTTTATGCCTTCGTGGCACGACTTGACCACGGTCCCGGTGCAGGGAATAATTGCACGACATCTTAGGCAGTTAGGGACTGAATCCTGTATGTGATTGTTTACTTTTGTTTTCATCTACTGAAGCGATGCATCCGTGGAACCCTCCGCCAACGTCCTGGCCTGTTCCACCGCAGCCTACGAACGCACCTCCGACGTGGCCGCAATCATCACAGAACGTACATCTATTTGGACATCCTTCAGCCTTGCATCCTACATGGTCTTCTTCAGCTTCGATCATGCCGTCTACATCATCCCCAACATCGTTGCCGTTTACCTCATTGTCTCCGGCTCCTCATGCAGTACCAGGCCCACAGCTCGTACCCACCATGCCTGCACCTTTGACCTCCGAACCCACAATGGCGCACACCGCTCCTTCGACTTTCCCATCTCCTTCGGCACCCACCGCTCCACCTGCCTGGCCTTCTCCACCGACTTCATCTCCTACGTCGACTCCACCACCTACATCGACTATGCCACCGACACCTTTGCCAAGTTCCCCTTACCCACCCCATCACATTCAACCTCCATTACAAACGAACGCATTGATGGTTTCTCCTGATGAACATCCTCCACGGCCTCCTGCAGTTAAGGCAGCTCCCAGACCTCGCTCTGACAAAAGAATGGATCGACCGCGCAGGCCAGCTTCAAAAGCCCCTTCTTCGACTACACCACCAGCACCCACGGCAGCACCGACGTCATCCGTGCCACCCGAACTGGTTGCATTGGGTTCCACTACACAACAACTTGCGGAATCGGTTCGACTTATTCAAGCTCAGCAACAGGTGATCATGGATACTCAACGGGCCCAAGAACAACGTCAGCTACTTCTCCAACAAGATGGACCTCCACCGAACCCTATTCCACACATACCACCACCTACGCCCGTGCCACCACTGACAGCCACACCTCCACCCGCACCGAAAGCCAGACCTACCGAACCTGACGTTCCGGACCTTCGCATTGTTCAAGCCCCGGCCATTGCTCCTCCTCATCCACTACCAGTTCCATCATCCCCAACACGCCGACCAAGATCTAGGACTCCACGACCACGTTCCCTTCGACCTTCGGTACATTCTCATCGCCATCGCTATTCTCCTCCACGAGCAGAGCGACCTCGTTCTCCTCTCCCTCGTCATCGATCATCCACAAAACCGGACAAGGGCCGCAGAACCCCATCTCCATACAGACGACGCTCCCCACCACGACGCCGCTCTCCCGTGGTCCCTCGACGTCATCGATCTCGGCCACGTCCACGTTCCGCGACACCACGTCACAGATCCAGAGGCCGTGAAGTCATACTCCGACCAGCTGCAAACCCATCGAATCCGAACTACATCCCCACTCCCGATGCTGATGACACCTGGGGTACATGGAACGACAGTCACTACACCGACAACGACCATCACCACAATCCTCGACCCAATTCTCCTGCCGGTCCACCACCAACGGAACCACCAACCAACCCACCAACCCACACTTCAGCACCACTCGGCGCGGTGTCCTTCCGAGTTCCGGACGGCGACAGTGAAAATTCTGAATTTACAGATACAATTTCGCTCACCAAGTTTGACACGAATGACATCGACCTCGATGAAATGGTGGCGGCGGCCAATGACCCCCATAGGGTCCGTTGCCTGACTGAACTTGACCCCGATCATGTTGTTCCTCTACGCCGATCATTGACCCAGGCTATCTCGCAGCTCTTCAACCAGTTTGTGGACGCGATGTTCGAAAGGTTGGCTCAACCATACCGCACCGTCAACAACCATCGTATTTACATCAAAGCAAGTCAAGCCACCGTCAGGAATATTGCCAGGGCCTTTGCACAATCCGACTTACTGGACATCGAACTCGCAAGGCAAACACAGGCCTTCTACATCGAGCCAGAAAACTTGCTGACCATCACGGTTCCCACAGGATTGAAGAAGAAACCAATCTACCGTGGCGAACACATGGGCACCTACCTGATCTACCACAAAACGAGTTGGGAATCAGTTGCCAAAATTCTTGCGGAGGACTGCATTCGCCCGGCAACTTGGACCAAAAACGAAGCCGGCATGCCGACTCAATACCCATGTTACGGGTTCTTCGGAATGTCCTCAGAGATCGCAGACATCGACCACCTACCCGGCTATGCTGTCAAGATCTGTACCTCTCAGCTCTACAAAATAGGCAAAGGACAAAACCCATCAGGCCTAATGGCCATATGCCGCTCACCCAAATGCATCCGTGCCCTAGCTGGAGGAAATGACCAAATCCAACGCTTGTGCAACCTTGCGGGCATCGCCAAGGGCAAAGACAATGCAACGGCTATGAACTCAAGCGCCGCATCTATATGCTACGTTGCCTCCACTCACACGGTTTTCCCGGGCTTGATCACACACCAGACTGCAGAGACCAATGCACCTTCGGAACCTCCTGATGATTCTACACGTCCAGTACGACCTGACCCTTCTGCTGACGCCCCTGAACCTTCGGAGCCGGCCCCGGACGACTCTCGCGACACACCGAGCCACCGCGAAACCGCTGCCTCTGGCTCTCGGGACTATGCTCGCCGATCTTGGCACGACAATGCTTCTTGGGACAATTCCACCTACAGCCACCGAGATCGCCGATCCTCATACCAGGAAGACCACTCTCGTGACCAGCACCATGAAGGCCGACCTCGTTCTCGACATTCGACCCACTACTCTCGATCTCGTTGGTGAACTATTTACCCTTGAGAAGCACCGGAACTAGTATCGACTATTCTATGTCAGCGATACAGTGAGCCTAGTGGCCCCGCCCGATCATTTTGGAGTAACAATGCTTCTCCCGACATTCGGTATTGCCGCCACTTCTTCCTCAAAAGGTTTGTGAATCGCTGCATGCTCATATTGTTGATCTTTTCGCCGATTCGTTTTCACTTCACGTTTCACACACGGGGACCACGTATTATGTCTCACACTTTTTCAATTTCACATTACCTTTGTCTCACCTCGACATTTTCCGCAGCTTTCCTTCGGCAGTTCGAGCGCATTTTGATCTATTATCTCGTGACCCTCGCTACATCATGGCGTCCCAGGACCTGATCTCCCAATATAGCGCGGATGTGAATGGAATTCCTCCTTCCCAGCCGGATCGCTCGCGCACTCCACCTCGTCATCAACATGGATGGCACCAAGCAGTACCGGCGTTTCGTGGCCCGATGCACTATGCCATGACGACCCATCGACCCTTTTGGAACCCTTCCGGAATACCGCCTCCGCCACCTACCTCTCCATCGTTCCCAACACGCCCACCATGGACTTCACCTACGGCACCTTTCCCGCCCACGCCGCCTCCGAGCTCACAGACACCTCCCAACCACGCCAACTTTGCACCTCAACGTCACCCTTTTACATCGAGATCACCGAGACCTATGTCATCCCCAGGAGCAAGTTCCTCTGTCAACGAAGGATATACATGCAGACCAATTGAAATCCCGCCAGTGGAGAACTGGAAACCGGATGTCGACTTCCACGACTCCAACAAAATCAATGGTTTGGACTTCCCTTCCAGAATCCGACAGAGCAGATTTTCAAGCTACAAGGACATTGAAGGGATGGATCCTTTACAAGTCCCACTCTGGAAGTTCTTGTACCAGGGCTTACACAATACTTGGCTTCGTCGAGTTGCATACGGAAGAGAAACCTTCGTCCTTCCTTTTGACAACATAGGCACTACAGTATTTGTGG